TGGTTTCCCTATTTATTTATCACCCATAGGGTTTATCAAGATTACCTTTGCTAGTATTTCTTCACGTATAGAACGTTTTACAGGTCCTTCAGGTTTGAGTGTATTTCTTGTTACTATAGTAATTTAAAGGAATGTTACTGTGGCATGCAGGAAGAAGCAGGAGACGAGCAGCGAAGATATGGCGGCCTTACTATAGAATATTCCCAAAGACAACAAGCAGCGGGACATTGCAGCAAACCGCAAACCTTCCTTGTGAAAGCAGAATTTTATTTACAAATATCAATTTAGAAATTAAACGGTATAAAAGAATCTCAAACGTGAATCTCTTTGAGAAATATGAACAATATAAAGTGACTCTCATTGTGACGAAAGGTTACAGTCGTTAAATAAGAGCACAGTGAGAAAAAGTGATATTAATATAAAAAGAATATCAATGCAAAGGAATCCACGCGACTAAAGAGAAATAATGGATATCAACAAAAAAAAAAAACGAAGAAAATAATTACATATTATGAAAGGAGGGAAAATGAGGGACAGGGCGATTTGCACGCAAAGGCAACGAATAGGTGCACTGTCGCGAGTTAGTTGATGGCATGTGTTGTATTAGTAGGTAAAGAGAAGAAGAAGAAAAAAAGAGGAGGAAGAGAATAAGGAAGAGGATGAGGAGAACGAACGAACGAACGAACGAACGAAAGAACCCACGAACTGCCATAAAAAAAGCAAAACTTGACCAGTAATAAAGCATACAAACTGGTCTGTAAGCATACAGATACATTTTACTTTAGACAGACAGACAACCACAGGCGCACAAACAATCCCTCGTTCGGTTGGTCCTCTCTGAGCTGCTGCCTGAAGGTCTACCACCCTGAGCCAAGAGAATCTCATGCTGGATGGTAGACTAACAGGGCAGATAGCAGATATCCCATTCACCTTCTAAATAATTTATATTTAGGACATCCGTGGTGGCCTAAACAAGCCCGGTGTTAGACTGCAGTCGATTGATTGATGTTTTATCCCACCAGAACATCACAGCGTGCAATAAACACCCGGTGACACAAAGTGCCATAATTCAGATGAGGGTCTCCCGGGGACAAGTCCCAGAAACCCCGTACAATCCATAGGCTGGGTTATATCAGGGCCCCCGGCAACAGCCAGGATTGGGATTGAAATAACGAAAAATTGCGTCCCACGTGAGGAAGGATGTAGAAACTGCACACTTGTAAAATAACCAGATACAACATTAATATCAAGCACGGCTCACCCCCTTCCCCCTTCTCTTTCCTCCCAATTGAATAAGAACATCGATAGCCAAGGCAGTCTTTCTGTTTGGATGCGCATTATTTCCCGTTATTATCTCAAACATACACAGCAAATTCTACTGGCGCTGCTGTATGCCTTTGATGTTTCTCCACTCTTCAGCTCAATTGCCGTATTTTCTTATTTGGGCCAGTCCCCTGAAGAACCATTAGCGCTGGCTGTTCATATAGCTACAGTAAACAATAATCAGTGTGTGTCGACAGGGGGTACACAAGGCTGAACATTACAGTGGAGGGTCGAAATCGTTTGATCTACAGTTGCACGAACAGATTAATCGATAAGTAGCATAGTGTACTAAGGCTTACAACTGTATATTGGGATGTTCTTTGTTTCGCTCACTGGACTCTTGAAAGCTCAGCATTTGGAGAAGGAGTCGCAACATTCATTTAACATCTCACTCCTAGTTATGTTGTTAGTAACGTCACTGTTTATTTGAGGTTCGCTCTCTTTACTCATTGTGTTGTAAACAGTGCTTCCTTCTTTTTTTGTTACATATTTTTTTTTTTATCTTTATTAATACATGACTAGGAACCAGTTGACTCATGAAAATAAGGCTACAGTAAATAATCAGGTGACAGTAGCCTCAGCTAGCAATATGTTAGTCAGTTAGTTATTTAGTCTTTCCTCTTAGGCCTAGTATTTCAGGATCCTCGCCGGTGCCACATAGCCTGTGTACTGTGCTGAGCTTCTTCGGACTCAGACTTGAGCTAGAATAATGAATGAAGCACTTATGGGTTACTTCCCGTGTGCCATGATGTTGATCCATTGTTCAAACTTCCTCTTGGGCCTAGGGTGGCGCATAGGGCAGAGATCATAGCTCTTCATGTCTGACAGTTTGTTGTTGCCACCTGCTTTAGGTCTTGGATGTTTATTAGGCCCATGGTTGAACCTTCCCTATGATGTTTCTACACAGGGTCTCCTTGGTCTTACCCGTTTTCTTTTCCCTTGTGGTGTCCATATGATGGCTTAAAAGGGAAGTCCTGTCTTAGGTCTTAGATGTACTTCCAGTGGCCCTTTTTCTTATAAAACTGGATACGTATCGCAGCAATATGGGAAAATGGAGCAAGAGGCCGACCATGAAAACATCCGATGAAGCGAATAACAGAGTCACAGGGAACGACGACACGACAGGCACCAGTTGGTGGAAATTTCCAACTGGTCAGCCATTAAATTTTCTACCAGTCATGTAGCAGCTACAACATTCAGAAGCTACATTGCTGCTAAATGAATGAGATACTGCACATGAAAATGTAGCATGCAAGAACTAATAAATGTAAGAGACCTATAATGTATGATACTGCAGTGCTTCAGCTCTCAGAAACAACACTCCAGCCAAGTATACAAGACGGCTTAACCTCGCATTAGCTAAAAACTGTAATTATGTAACTGAATTTAATACTCAAAATGCTATCTACATTTAGTGCAGCTCTGTGGCTCAAAGGTTAGGGAAATTGTTTGAAAATCCAATCTTTGACATTTCAGGGTTCAAAATCTGTGGCCGGCTATTTAGAAAATGACCGCTCTTGAAGCTTTCAGGCAGTGGTATGAGAGTCAACCTGTAAAAGATTCTGGGAATCTCCCGACATTATATTCCTAAACACCGGGGTATGCCGCTGTGTTGGGAAATGAAGAGACAGAGTGGCCGGCTCTGCACAACTTGTAATATGGATGCAAAATGCAGATGTGGGGTGGGGGGCATGTGTATATTTTGGAGAAGCAAATCGATCATCACAGTCTGGTGAGAGTAATGCAGTGAGGAGTGAAGAGGGGATCTGGCTAATATTCGGCGCTCAGAGGAAAGGCAAGACGGATGTACAATCAGACTGCTACTGGTACCATTGGTATTCAAACTCTGTGCTGGCTGCTGGAGATGGGTACGAAGCATTTATGGGAATGCCCGGAGTGCTGTGATGTTAGTTCTTGAAGCAACTCAACTCAGCTATGCAGGAATCAAGACTAATTAGATGCTAGACATGAAAATGTAGCATGGAAAAACAGGCCAGTTTAAAATGCCAGACATAAATAAAATATGTGATACTGCAGCGCTTTATCCCTCAGAAACTACTCTTTCCTAACCTCTCATTAGCTAAAACTCGTAACTGTATAGCTGAATTTAATACACTAAATTATATATACACTTATTACTCCCCTCTGGCCCAAAGGTTAGTGAAATCGTTTCACAATCCAATCTTTGACATATCATGGTTCAATTTCTGTGGCCCGTTTTTTTAAGAAAAAGACTTTTTGTGACTTTCAGATATTTTTGGAACTCATCAAGTTAAATTCCCAAAGACATCAATGTGTGCACAACAGATAAACTCCATTCTGGAGACACTACACAAATTTATGTAATATTATTACCACTTGGTTTTGTTTCAGCCTTAACCATCCCCTGGTCACCTATTTTCTGGGCCGTGGATGTAAAAAGATTGAAAAATATCATCTTCATCACCATTGTCTTACTTAGGGCTCGCAGTATTTTCCTCAATTCCGTTCTACCCTTTGCAGCTATTTCAATATCATGGACAAAATACAGCACAGCAACCTTGGCCTCTCTCATAAAAAAAAAAGTTCATCTTAAGGTTTCCTTTTGACGTTCTTATTTTCTTACACCGTTTGCTTCCAACTTAAGTGCCTGTCTGGTGATTCTCTGTTCACTTCTCTTTAAGGTGTGTCCTGTATATTGCTGTCTTCTTTGTCTTATTAACTCTTGATATTAGCTGATGTCTAGACCAGAGGTTCTCAAACTGGGTGCCGTATGCCAGGGGTGCCGCAGCAATAATCAAGAATTTTTCAAAATCTGCTTGAGATCAGCGAAGGCAGCAGTTTAAAACATAAATACCGTGAAGGAAACCAAGAAGAGTTCTGGATGCAGGTGTATTTAGAAGACAGCAGTATAAAACAGAAATACCGTAAAGGAAACCAACAACAGTTTTGTATCCAGCTGTATTTAGAAAACAATGCTATTGGCAAGGCTGCAGTGCATTCTCAACGTACACTAAAAAAAGTTTTTTTTAACAGATACAGGAGCAAACTTTCTGGGTCAAGTGATTTGAGGGTTAAATTTACTAAACTTCCCATATACATAAAGAAAAATAACATAATGAAAAATGCATCCAAACAGTTCCATTCATCACATTAAAGACTATTGAACATTAAATGTGCACTGTTTTTCCTTATTTTCCTAAGCATTCAAACCGCTCTAAGGGTAGGCGTGCTGTAGGTTTTAGCTAAGGCACTTGTTCTGGAATGTGTTTAACTTTCATTCCATATCTTCAGTGGTTCTGAGAAGGTTAAAATAAATACTTATGAATCCCTATGTGGGTTCCGGGGACCAATTTTGAAGAAAACAAGGAAGATAACCACTACCTACCCAAAAAGCATGTCATAAGAGTCGACGAATGGGAGCTTCCTTCAAAGTTGGGGTGCATCTGCCTAGAGGCAAGAAATTAACAATCTGCATATACATGAGTCAGATCTGTAAAACGAATGTGCACGCAACACTCAGGTTATCGAACAGGACTACAGTCCAGAACTGGATGAACAACTAGACCTTTCCGATGGAGTTAATAGCCGGTGAATATAAAGAAGTATGTTTATCAATAAAAACACTTGACAAAGAAGTTTTATCTACATTTAATATTTTAGGTAATCACCGAACAGAACTCTGGTGTAGGTTCTTCTCACTCTCCTGCAACTAACGTCTGAGTCCAGTCATAAGGCTTCCACTTCTGGGCAAACTGCAACACTTTCTTCCGCTGGTCTTCAAAACTCTCGTTATGAGGTTTCCTCCATAAAGTGGGCTCTGCATCCAACATTCCTCCAACTATTTCCTTTAATATGAGAAAAATTTAAAACATTCAGGAAAAGAAAAAACTTCAGCAAACTGACTTGAACTAATATTTTGTAAAACAGAATTTAAAGCGGTGTTCTTCAACCAGTGGAAAAGGCCAGGTTGGCCGCCAAAGATTTTTTATTAAATTATGCAACAGGGTGGGGTAGGAAGTTTTTCCTCTTCCAGGATTGCAGTTTGAAGGATTAACACATCAAGAATGAAAATAAAACAGGTACAAACTCCGGGAACCCCTTAACATATCATAAGAAACACAATGTCAGTCATCATTCTCTCGTGCAGTTAACTTTGCAGAGGGCTCAGAAATGAAATGTGGGCAAATCATAATTTTACAGTAATGTTCTCTCATTGTGAATTTTAATCATGAGGATAATTTACTGCAAAATGAAATGCCTGCATATTATGCTAAAGAAAAAAAATTAATGTGACCTTAAGTAAAATAATGACTTCATCATCATCTATCAGTATGTGCTGGGGGCTGCATGGTCTCGAGGCATGGTATTCACCACAAGTGCTTGAGGTTCTGGGTTCAATCCCGGTAAAGGCTGGGATTTTTTCACGTGGTCTTGGACTTTTATTCTCTGGTTAGTGAGATCAGATGCACGTGTGCATTACTGCGCAAGAAAAAATCTCTTGACAGTTGGAAATCAAAAAGAGTAGCCTAACGGGGCCACCCTGGCAAAATTTAGAGTTAAAAACCTACCCAAAGTATTTCAGGATCCTCGCCGGTCCTACAGAGCCTGTGCATTGTGCTGAGCTTCTTCTGACTCATACTTGAGTTAGAAGAAGAACTGAGTACTTATGGGTTACTACCCGTGTGCCATAATGCTGATCCATTGTTCAAAACTTCAAAAACCTGTGCATGTGCTTTACAGAATGTCGCTCTCTTCACGGCATGCCTCAAACTCTCCCTTTCTCTAGCAAATTCTCAAGCCCTGTGTGCTTTCATAACTATGCATCTTCAATGCTCTGTACCCACCTTTAAGAAGTGCAGCCTCTCTGCCTTGTTTTCCAGAAACTTACCACCCTCTACCCCCCCCCACCCCCACCTCACCCCCCCCCCACCCCTCACTCTCTCCAGACCACCATGGTGCTTAATCACCACCATCATCATCATCAATTTCCAAGGGGTTGCGTTAGTGTTGTCAATAAGAGACTAGCTTTCAAATCCAGCTGCGACTCATCACAGCCCGTGGTCGGTGTTTGAAACCAGGCGGTTCCCGGGGTTCACCAAGCCGCTAGGAAATGGGTTCCAGAGTGGACATTCTGGGGTAAATGGAGGAACATCACTGTAGCTACGGAGTTATGTGCGGATGGCGACACAGGCAGACAATTTCTTATCAGCTGCTGTACTAGTGGCAGAGCACTTATGGTTTATAACCGTGTGCAATGACACTGGTTCAAACCTCTGGACTTTACCTTTACCTTTTTATCATCAATTTCCACTTCTACCACTGAGCATCGCAGGCAGAAACACTGCTTGATGTAGAAGCTCTGTAATTTCATCAATCCATATCTTCCTAGGGCAACCTCTTCCTTTCAATTCAAATCTTTTTATGTGTAGCTCCTGTGTTTGTAGTTGTTCTGGCTGAATTTGTAAAAGATGGCCCAACCATCTGATCTTCTGTTTCTCAATGAATTTGATGCATGGTGTTCCCACAGTCTGTCTGATAATTTCTAACCTGGTCTCGGATAGTTCAGTTAGCTGCTTTTCTCAGGCATCTCATGGCACTTGACATGTCCAAAATACCTCAGCTTGTGGGAGATGATGCTGCTTATGAGCCAGTTCTCCTTATGTATAGGTCATGCAGGATGTCAAAGTCTTGCTTCTTCTAGGTCCATGGTATTCTAAGAACCTTTCCTGTAGCATTTCATTTGAAAATCTCTGATTTTCTTCTTCAATGACTGAGTGAGAGCCCACGACTCACATCCATAAGTTTCCATGGGAAAGATGCACGATCTCAAAATGTTCACTTTAACTTGCTTGCAGGGGCTATACAGGGTTCTTCATGTTGTTTAGTTTCTAATTTGTTAAAGCAAATTGTATGTGTTTTTTATTTTTTTATTTTTTTATTTTTGTGTGTGCAGTCACCTTATTGTTCATTACTGAGCCTAAATATTTGAAATATGTGACATTTTAAATCTCCTCCTTGTCGATTTTAATACATGGTTGGTGTGCTGTATTCACTATGGACATTATTTTAGTTTTTTCCAGATTTGGAAAGAGACTCTTTAATAACAAATAACAAAACACATTGTTCAACGTTTTAATATATGCATTACCACTATAATAGTTTTAAACAGACAAATTTTTTTTTTTTTTTTTTAATCGATCACCGGCTGTGAATTCCAGTGGAAGGTCCCGGTTAATCGTCCGCTTGGACTTTTGGCTTTCACCTGGACCTGATTTTTGCGTGTACAACCGTTTTTCATTTCCCTGCCTCATGGGCAGCTGTACTCCGACTTCGAAGGAAGACGTCAGGCCTATTTCTAGGTTGACTGTGGCCATTGTTTTGTGTGGGTCGAGACGTTGCCTGATTTGTGTGGTGTCCACTTTGTCTCCTCCGCAGGTATTGCCCTCGGAGTACCCCTTTGGGGCAGCCCCCTGTGGAACAGTTAGCCCTCAAGGGAAGGCAGGGGCAGATCATGGGCATTCCCCGCCATCCAAGGAGGCTTCCATGCCGGCACATGGCGCTCTGGTTCTGGGCTCACCCAAGGAATCGTCACGTCCTGCACATGCCTGCTTAACCTCACAACCGTATCAGGCCTCCCGCTCGACAGGGGCTGCGCCCTCTGGAAGTCAGCGGGGAGCAGCCCGTGGGTTTTGGACTTTTGTGACCACACAGATAGGTACATTCTTTTTTTCTTCGCACGTTAGATTTCTTTGACGAGCCGTTAGCCCGACAGAATTTTACATCCTGCATCAGGCATATCGTTATCAGTTTTGTCCCAACACTCGGGCGAGTGGGGTCTTTGGGTGTGGACATTTCAGTCTTTTTCAGTTCAATACAAATTTTGATGGTCAGATTTTGATCCGTATGATCTAGTTTTGTCGGACAATTAGGATGGTTGCTGTTGTGAAGTACCTCAGCGCGGTGTCGGCGACACTGAGGGTTAACCGAGGATGTACATGAATGGCCAGCCTATGGATGGTTGCTGTTGTGGTGTACCTCAGCGCGGTGACGACGACACTGGGGGTTAACCAAGGATGTACAAGGATGGCCAGCCTATGGATGGTTGCTGTTGTGGTGTACCTCAGCGCGGTGACGACGACACTGAGGGTTAACAGAGGATGTGCAGTGAACAATGTTCTCTTTACTCCGCAGTCTTTTAACCAAGGATTGTAATTTTGGCTGTACGTTTGGCAAACCTACTCATGTTCCTAATGAGTTTTGATAACATTTTTCACCCAAGCGTTTGGGGGCGGGCTGATGAGAGCCACAAGGACACATCACCTCTGGGGGCCGCCGAACTCCGAGATCCCCTGACAGCTCTGTTAATGCTCATTTGAGACATTATCCGTGGCGCACGACGAGGACGTGCTGTAGGGGTCTTGCGTGAGGTTCCGTACAACCAGGATAGTTAAGGACTGGCGCCCGAGTGACGTACGGAGTATCTCCTTATACACATCATGTTGGACTTAACTTCCCCTCACGCCTGTGACATAAATCACCGCGCCACAGACTAATATTTTTGTTTGTTTGCACACTCGTTAGTTAATGTGCCCAATTATATGCTAATTCAGTGGACTTCAGAGTTACAAAAGTTTCCTTTAGGATTAATCAGCCAATAAAACTTATTTTTTAAGTTTCTATTTGTAGCATTGGTCTACAGTTGCAAGCAAATTTCTTCTCTTTTAATCATTCCTTATAATTCATGGTAATTATTAAAAAAAATTGTATCATTTTCTTTATTCTTCTGTTTTAATTCTATATTCAGGCACAGAAAGCACAATTAGCTGACATGAAGCGGTTTCTCTCCCCCCCCCCCCTCCCACACCTAATTGTGTACAGATCACCCCATGTCATCCCCATCTTTTTTTTTTTCACTTCACTGTCCAATTCTCATCTCCATGTGTCTTAAGTCCTGTGGGTTTTAGTGGAAAGACATCTGTTATATTATTATCTGCTTTCTCTAGGTGTGTCCTATCCACCCTTTCCTCACCTCTTAATTCACTAGATTATGTTCAGGTTCTCTAAAGATTTGTGCTTCTGCCATATCATTTCACTCTCCCTATTCCGGTACTGAAAGAACTATGTTTTTTAATGTCTAATGATAACAGTGTTATTCTTCATTTCATAACGCACAGTTCTGACTTTGGTCTTTTGTATATCATTTCCCTGAGGTCAATACCGTAAATTATGTCTATACTTCTTGTCCTTTTTAGGACGAAATTTTTCGTTATTTAAAGCCCTACTCTGGCTCTTGCCAGGGGCCACAATATAGCCTGGCCATAAATATGGCCTAAAGGCTGAACGCGGTTTCTGGGACCTCTCCACGGTGATCCTCACCAACATGGTGGCACATTGTGTCATCGGGTGTTTATCGCTTGTGTGATGTCCTGGTGGGGTAGAAAGTCAGTCAGCCAGTCATTACCGTAAATATTATTATGGTCTCATCTAAATTTTTTTTATGTTATCATGACTCACTTGCTATTTAAGTAAAGTCTGCTTTGAATAATATTTTCAATGGTAGGACCTCTGTTTATAATTAGTTCCACAATGAAAATGTGAAAATGGCAATGAGGAAATCAAGCACTCACTCGTCCAAAGTAAGCTGGAAACCTGCTCTCATCTTCAATAACAGTTGCATAGCCTCCCTGTAAGCCAAAGTCTACACTGAAGTATGGGAAACCTTTGGGAATCTGCAGAATGTCATAATGAATTAGCACAGCCAGTGACTGAGTTATAACAATAAAATCATAATGAGTAGAACTTTAATCTAACAGTGATATCTGGTAATCTTGTAATCTTAGTTTCAGCTTCATAGCAAATGCGGTCACCCCATAGTTGCTCCGCTCCTGTGCCAACGATAAACACACAAAATGTTTATCACAGTCCCTTGTAGAAAGACTGACAGACTGCTGTCTCAGCATATGCGCTAGTATACACACGTATTAAAAGAGAGCTTCTTCCTATCAGAAGTAGTCTCCACTTTAGTACATTTTTCAAGTGCTTTGAATTTCTCAACATTTTGAGGAAACTGGCCTATTCTTTGGTATAAAGATGACCCTTTTTCCACCCACTGGTGCCAGGCATGGGTGGTGATTGTAGAGCACCCACTGGTGCCAGGCATGGGTGGTGATTGTAGAGCACCCACTGGTGCCAGGCATGGGTGGTGATTGTTGAGCACCCACTGGTGCCAGGCATGGGTGGTGATTGTAGAGCACCCACTGGTGCCAGGCATGGGTGGTGATTGTAGAGCCTCCAGAGGATGGTTGTAGCAGGGCTAAAGAGCAGAGACACCCTCAGGTTTCTGGTGTTCTTTTTTATGTATGTAATTCAAAAAACCGAAAACTCTGTCTTGGTCACAGTCAAGTGTACTGGTGGTTTACCTATCACAGGGGTTCAGAAGATGAGAAACTGTGTTAACTATTTACCCCTAGACTAGTGTTTCCCAACCTTGTGCCATGCCCCACCTAAGCCTCTCTAAAACTCTAATGCTTACCCCCCCCCCCCCCCCCCCCCCCACCCACCCCCCCCCCCCCCCCCCCCCCCCCCCCCCCCCCCCACACCCCCCCCCCCCCCCCCCCCCCCCCCCCCCCCCCCCCCCCCCCCACCCCCCCCCCCCACCCCCCACCCTTCCCTTTTTGGGAACTAATAGATAATTGTTAATATTCCAAAACTGAATTATTCACTGAATAAACTTACATTATAGGTTTTATGAAATCACTAGAAGACTGTTGAGGAAACAAGTAAATTTTTAAGTAACCTAAATTCTGGAAGTTTTCAAAAAGCCTGTCTTAACATTAAAATGCCCCTTCCCCCTCCCTTGTTAGAAAACACTGCTCTGGACTCTCCCTGCTTGGTTGGTTTGAGAGTGTAGGTAGGACTTAGTCCTTGACAATGGAAAGCTGCAGCCTCATATGATTTGAACCCACTGCTGTCTTCTCCTCTCCCCATCAAGCCCTTTGGCTTAGACGTAAGTAAATGCTTTTAATAACTTCATCATCCTCAACAAACTAAGGTTTGATTTCCACAGCTAGCATTTTTAAAAAAAAAGGATTTCAAAGTTTTAATGGACCATTCTTGTGGTTTTGGAGCAGTGGTTTGAGTATCATGCTGTGAAAGAGATTGGGGCCTCACAATGTAATATGGTGCGTACTGCAGCAAAATTTACAGATGGCTGGTGAGTACTGAAGGACTTTTTATTTCTTCTCTTCTGCCTTTCTAGCCTCCAATAGGGCCTCAACTAACTCACGCCAATTCGTTCTATCCTTTCCTATCGCATGGAGCTCTCCCTATGTCCTCCCCATCTTTCTAACTTCATTCTCCAGCTCTTTTCTCCATGTGATTTTTGGCCTTTCTTTATTCCTATGCCCCTGTGGGTTTCAATGCAAAGACATTCTAGTTATGCTGTTCTCCGGTTTTCTCAATGAGTGTCCTATCCAATGTCAGCATCTTTTCCTCACCTCTTGGTCCACTGGAGTTTGCTTAGTTCTCTCCCAGAGCTCTACATTAGTTATTCTATCATACCATTTAATTCCCTCTATTCTGCGCAGACACCAGTTAATGAATATATATATTTTATTTGTAATTGCCTTAGTTGTTCTCCATGTTTCCACTCCATACAAAAGTAACTTTTTATTTAAGATACAACAAATATTAATAAACCAACCACGTGTCTGACATCCTTGTTGCTCAAACTGTGCAGTTTCTTGTTATCTGACCACTCAGGCCCTGCTTCTTGAACTGCTTTCTAGAAAGAAAAAGAAAAAAGAAAACTTATAGTAAGTTCAACATGCGACTGATTGAGAAGAGGTGAATTTTACAGTATAAATAGAAACACCAAATTGTTTGGAGATAACAAGGAAACGAGGCAGGGTGCATTCTCTCTTTTTACTTATTCATTATTTATGCAGAAAACATTTGGAACAAGTTTTTAAATGACCAGATCTGTAACAGTTATGGTCTGCTCATTTTTAGTGAAACACACTTCTGAAACTTTGCTATGTAGATAAAACAGTCCTCCTTTCAAACAGTATAAAGGGAACATTACATTTAATCATATCCGTCCAAAAACAGTGAAGATAAAAAACTGTTCTTGATTTTAAAGAAAAAAAAAAGAATAATGTCCACAAACTGCCTGTCACCCAAAAGTAACAATAAAATATAAAACTCAAAACGTCACAAACTTTGATTATCTAGGCTTCATAGCAAACAGCAATGGAGACTGTTCAACAGAAGTCAAAAGGATGATGGCCATAGCAATACAAAGACTAAACAGCATTAAAAGTCTATGTTTCAACAACAGCAAGAAAATCAATGTCAACATTTTGAAAGCATGATCCTAGCTGTAGTAACATATGGATGTGAGCTGTGGACTATCTCACCGTCATTAAGGAAGAAAATAGGTGCTTTTGGGCTGAAATTCTAGAGAAAGATTCTCAGAATACAAAGGACAAAGAAGAATAGAAATACAGACATTCTTAAAGATCTGAACATCAAGGAAGACTGGCTAGTAAACAGCACATTGTCTCAGAAATTGAAATATTTTGGATATGTCAAGCGCCACCGTGGATTGGAAACAAATAAACGCAAGTACCAAGAAAGAAGGGCCAGCACAAAGCTGGGAACAGGATATAAGTGATACTTTTGGTAGGAGATGGGAGAGCTGGTGAGAAACTCAGTTTATCTCAGGCAGACTATGATGAGAGAGACATTCACCAAACGACCTGCTACAGGATGATGAAGTAAAAGACCCTTTTCACACCATTCAGTGGTACATTGGGTGTATAGTGCTAGAACTATATATTTTGTACAGACAAACTGCCATTCGATGGGCAATGCAGTCAAAATGACACTGGCCACCTTTATTTCTAAGTACATTACCTGGTACCCAGTTTTATCTGGGTCAACACAAAAGTCAAAGACAATTTTGAAAGAAAAAATATTTTTTGTTAAAGGAGTCTGATATAAACAAGCCGTTGATTATATTCTATTCACTGCGCATTTTTCTTCAAGAATTCAATTTACCTTGAAGTAAATAGGGGCCAGGTCACCCAATTCCTTGTCCAGCGGTACACATTCTATTGCAGTGTGGGGGAAATGCTTCAGGTTCTTTACAGTCTCCATAATGACCATGTCTTCACCTTTAGCAGCAAACATCTGCACCAGGCTTTTTCGGAACAGCTGTGGGGAAACAGAAATGAAAATGATTATATTCAATTATAAGAACTTACAAAATTTTATATAGTCATGGTATTAATTATGCGAACTAATAAAGTGACTGAGTTCTTTTTTGGCAATAAGAGATCATGAAATTCATGCTGCAGATATCATTACTGTGATGACCGTGCACTGCATGGTAGCTCCATGCATCTATGTGATCCACATTATCTTCCAGTTGGTGACTTCAAGTGTTCTTAGGTCTGTATATTATTTCTCCACCACCTTCTTGGTCGGGTGTCGCCGTGGTGTAGCTGCTAGACGCTCGACTGGGGATCTGAAGGTCATGGGTTTAAATCCCTTTGTTGCCGGAGTTTTTTAGGGAGTCGCTGTGGCGTAGCAGCTAGATGCTCGCCTGCAGATCGGAAGGTCGTGGGTTCGCTCAATGGCGGAGCTGGACTTTCAAAGACAAAAATGACCTTGGCTCCCAGGTTGACCCCACCTTGAGTGGGTACCTGGTGCAGTCCTAGGAAGTAAAAGTGGCCGGCGGGATGCTGACCACATCACCCATCTTGTGCCGATTGGTCTATAAAAATATAGGCCTAGCCCTATACGCCTGAAGGTGTGGAAAAAGGACTTTTTTTTCTAAACTTACATACTGCTGATTGTATTTCCCCTCTAAGTTGCCACATGAAAGTCTGACATTTCAAAAATGAGGTGAGCAGTTTCCTGCATGCCAAATAAATTATGAATGGTCAGTGGAGGGGGAATAGGCAAAGCTGAGGCCATAAATATACATTACAGAAAAGGCAGAGATGTGCCAACAGTTGAACAGAGAATTCTTGTTAAAAAAACCAGAAGACAGCAAATATGTAATTTAAAACAAAACAAAAATTCAAATAAAGACACAAATGTCTTCATTTTATGGGAGAAATATGCAAAATGACAAACAAACCTGTATCTCTTGCCAGACATCCTCATCCATACTGGTAGCTGCAGAAACGTGTTGCATTGGAACAATAAAACAGTGTCCATCCGTCAAAGAGCGATGGTGGGGCAAGCAGAGATAACTCTGGATAAAACAAAACAAATTTTAAAATAAAAATAAAAATTAATAAATTGTAATCTTCTGACTGGATTCATAGATGCAGAAGAAAGAAGTATAACAAGTGATACATTTTACAGGCTGGGTATCAAACCTGTTGTCTCCAAATGACAACATCGCCCTGACGCAGGAACAAGTGTACGACAACACATGGCCAACTAGACATCCCACAGAAAGGTATCTTCATTAGGCAGGCCTAACATCTGAGCCAATAACTAAATATGGACAACCAATCTCTAACCATTGACTAGCATCATTGGTTACAGAGATTTATATTATCCAAGATTAGGTAAAAAATAAACACAATAGCTTGTGATTTTTATCTAGTCTAGTGTGTCTTCAAATCTCTACTTCATTTATGTAATCTTTGAGTGCCATTAGAACATTTTTGTAATAGCTGGTGGAGATATGTACAGCCTAACTTAACGTGATTTTTTTTGTTTTTTTTTTTGTTTATTCAGTGAAAACGATTCCCCTTTATGCTTCATTATATGTTGATATAACTCTATAGTGAAATATGCCTGGTAAAAAACTGTGCAATGTATTGTTTGTGTCATCATTATTTAAATATATCAATTTGTTCATCATACTTTCATTTGTCAAACCTGAATGGATTTAATGGTAAATTTACTACACCTATCTTATCTTACGGTGATGGTGGTTTCTGTGACAAAGTGGTCAAGAAGTCTGTCTTGTGCTCTAAAGGTCGTGCATTTTTTATTTCATGCAAGTGTCATTCAGTTCAAGAGTGTAGTTTTTATAGAGATCCCTTGAGATCATCGAAGGTGTAACAAAGCTCTGGCAGGTGGCTAGCCATTTTGTGGAGCGAACAAAGGGATAAATCCCAGTGCAATGAAGGCGATCCTCTCTTCTCAAACTCTATCTTCAAAGTGATGGTAAAAGAATGCAAACGGTTGACAAATTCAGCAATTTTACAGAAAAATATAACTGTAGAAGTAATTTCAGGGTCAATACTTCTTCATATCTACCAGGAAAAAACGATATGAAGTCAGGTGATCAGTCCCATTCCTAGCTGCCCTTTCTTCCCTCTGCGATTCAATTTTTTATTGCTGTTTTTATTCCAGAGACGTGCAGTTTGACAAAAATCCCCTTTCCACATAGACTGAGCCTCTAAACTAATTTGCAGTATCAAGTTTAGCTTCATGGCCCTCAGAAACTAACATAAAACTGTAACTTCGTTTATTCTTGATTTCAGGGCCTCTGAACTAGTACGCACTATCAAGTTTAACATCAAAGCCCTCAAAAACTAACAAGAAGCTTTAACATAATTTATTCTGGAATTAAAAATGGGATTGCTATATCCATATATATGATATAGGGAGTTGCCGTGGTGTGACGGCTAGACAGCCGCCTGTGGATCGGAAGGTCATGAGTTCAGGTCCTGACGGGACCGAACTTTTAAAAAAAAATGAGCTTGGCTCCCAGCTCGACCCAGCCTTGAGTGGGTACCAGGTGCAGTCTTAGGAAGTAAGGGCAACCAGTGTGATGATGACCACATCAGCCACCAAGTGCCGATTGGTCTATAAAATATAGGTCTAGCCCTTTATGCCCAATACTCCTAAAGGTGTGGAAAAGGCTCCTTTACTTTACTTTACTTTTAAATATGGAACATCCCAGTGCTCATTAAGGATGTCCTATACAAATTTATTAAAATAAACTTGATTCGTAGAACAAAATACTATGCCCAAATCACAAATATCCACTCTAATTAAGGGTTTAAGACAAAAGAGCTAGAGAAAGGCAAAGATAAAAATGTCGGTACCATAAAAATGGGACAGGAAACAGGCGGGCAGAGTTGCAGAATAACCTGCTAAAAGGTAACGATGATGAAGAAAGCTGGATACTACATTTAATAACATCCTACCCTAGTACGTATAGTCCTGATAACTTTACCCTTGTGCACAGTATGTGCAATAGTAATACTTTTACAGTTAATACTTAAAGACTGACACCAGAGAGAGATCAGTAACAGGCAGCCTAGATGATGTTTACCTTTGTTCCAATTGCAATAATCAGGTGCTTGGACACTTTACTAAAACATCTATGGCAGTTTTCCATTGAGGCATTAAGCTTTTTATGCTCTATAAAAAGAAAAATATTACAAAATAGATCACACACTGCTTTTATGTGCATACAACATACATTTAGCACTAAGCAGATAACCATAAATCAATCAATCAGCAGGTCTCGTAACAGCACGCCTGAAAATCTTTCTCTAGCCAATATTCCAGCCCTTGTGCTTTCATAGCCAATGCATGTTCAGTGTTCTGTATCCACCTTTACGGAGGTGGGTCTATGCACTGAAAGGTCTCTTTTACAGGCCAAAAGAAACCTATCACACAGCTAGGACAATGGACGAGAAATCCTTGCTTATCTACCTCTGAATTTGCCCGGGGAAAGTAAAACTTATACAAATGCATGCCGAAGCTGTACATGCTGACCTCTGAGGGGACATAGAGTTTTGCCCATGTGGACAAGCATCAGAGAATACTGATCATATGCTGCAGGCGTGCTCTCTACATGGAGTAGAGATCATAGGTCTAGCCAGTTGGCATTCCACTGGAAACTAAGCTGTACAGATCAGCAGAGAACATGCTTCACACCACAATCTTCATGGAAGCCTTATCTAAAAACTACTGGCAAGAAGAATTAAAAGGAAAAGACCTCTGAGGTGCATAACGAGATGTAAAGGATCTCTTGAAGGAATAATAAAGAAGCTGAATAAGACTTTTTCATCAAATACAAGTCCCTCCTTCAAAAATGACCTTGGCTCCCAGGATGATCCAGCCTTGAATGAGTACAAGGTGGAGTCCGGGGAAGTAAAGGTGGCCAGCATGATGCTGACCATTTCGCCCCTCCCCAAGTACCGATTGGTCTATAGAAATATAGGTCTAGCACTATATGCCCAATACGCTGAAGGTGTGGAAGCATCCTTTACTTACTTTCAAGTCCCTCCAATTCTATTCATATTTTTATTGCAACCACTCCTAATTCTGCTCTACAAAAATAAATTACTGTAACACTCACCAAATATGGCTGCATTCCTGTCCCTGGCTACAGCTTGTTCCTCATTCTGCTTTCTGGCAGCTTTGCTCACAAACATGTCATCAACGTCCAGATCTCTGTCATTAGACTAGAGATGCAAGATTAAAAAATGAGCAGTCAACAGAAGTCATATCTTAATTCAGAGATAAACTGGAATCAAGGAGGAATTGTTAAAAAAAAAAATGAAGAATATTAAATCCAATCTTTCTTTGCAAACTGAGATAAGAAAAAGAATTCTTAAAATCTACATAAATCCTATCCTCATAATGGAAGAGAATGATGGATAGTTAGATGATTAGTAAAAAAAAATCTGGAAGCTACAGAAATGTGGTTTTACAGATAAATGATAAGAATACACCGGACAGATAAAAACAGTAATGAAGCTATCTTGAAAGAAACTAACTCAAGAAGAGAACTGACTGCCCACATCAGAATCTTTGGTCATGCCATGAGAAGGAGAAAAACTTGAATAAATCGTGATGGTGGGAAAGCTGAAGGGGAAAAGAGGCAGAGGAAGACAGAGAGAGAAGGTGCTGGAAAGGAGAGGGAGGATTTGCGAACCAAATAGCATTTTTAAAGCCATGATGACATTAAAACTTCCCGTCGCCTCAGTGATAGAGATCACGTAAGGTCATGATATTAGTCACCAAACATATATATTTAGGCCCTGGGAAATGTATTCCATTTAATGCATCACTCTGTTCATGTTTATCGCTTATTCCCTTTATGAATGTTTACATATTTTTCCAAAAACAAATTTCTATGTTGATAAATACATTTTTGTTAAATGTATTAGAGACCCATCTAGAAAGCAAACAACAATGGTTACATCAAAGAAGAAGATAACTCCAAAATGTGACATAGCAATAGAAGGGAAAGTGCTTAACCAAGTCAATACATTCAAGTATTTGGGAACATTCATAACATTGGATGGACGAAGTGTGATAGAAATTAACAGTAGAATTGGTCAGGCAAAGGCAGCATTTCAGAAGATGAAAAGTATCTTATGTAATAAATCACTAACATTAAACTTCAGAAAATGAGTACAGAAATGTTACATCACACCTGTTCTGTTGTATGGCAGTGAATCTTGGAATGTGAGCTAACAAATTAAGAAGAGTTTGGAGGCAACTGAGATGTGGTTCTTGAGACGAATGTTGCTAATACCTTGGAATGCCAGAATAACCAACACTGAATGCCTGAAAATGGCTAATGAAAGTAGAACATTATATACAACAATGAGGAGACAAAGTTCTTTAGTCAAGTGACGAGAAAAGGAGCACTGGAAAATATTGTGACAACTGGAAATATTACTGGTAGAAGAGGCAGAGGCAGAGGCAGACCAAGATAAATTTCTGTGGATGGCTTAAGACAGTGGCATGGAGGATTATCATCAGTGGGACTAATTCAGAACACTGAAAACTGAGTTATGTGGCGATGCATGAACAACTATACCAGCTGGCAAAGCACTTGATGATGATGACGATTAAAGACCCACAAAATATTTGTTTAAAAGATTTTTTTAATAAATTTCTGGAATTCCCATAGGGTCATGACCCTTTTTTTTTAGTATCCCTGGGTGAAAGGGTTAATATTAGCATCAGCTAATGAAGCAAAAAAATGAAGCATCAAAAGATAGAATATACAGCTGAACTTACCCTTCCTGCCAGTCTGGCAAACATTGCATTCTGGTCCTCAGCTGTTCCTGCTTTTTCTTGCTCAACCTAAATTATCAGTCAAGTCAAAATTATTATACATGTAATTTTAAAATACACACTGCTAAACATTAATTACACTTTTTTTTTTCAAATACTCTCTAAAAGACCTAGATAATAGCAGTATAATTATAGTGAGGGGAGAATCCGTGGCAAAGTGGTTAAGCGTTTGCCTTGTTCTCTATATATAGGTCGTGGGTTCATTTCACGGCGGCAGCGTTCAGTCCATGCGTGCAATTTTTACAGAGATCCCTAGGGATCATCGCCAGAGCTATGGAGGCCATGCTCTGTGTGACATTCTCAGCAGATAGCTGGCTGTTCTGAGGTGACTGCGCCATATGGGATAAAACCCAGTGCAATGAAGTCGATTCTCTAGCCTTGACCTATACTTTTAATCATAGTGAATCAATTAAAAATGATAAATTTATGATAATGTAGTTCTGATTATCTTTGCTTTCTCTTTCCATCAGTATTGGTTCTGATGGTGTTGATGATGTTGGAGCTGCCAATTAGCCATTTGAGAGGATTAAAGCAGGCACTGAAGCCATTAACCCGACCGCCCCGAAAAGATGAAATTTAGTCACTTCCTGTTGTGACACAGCCCTGCGATATATCGACATTTTTGCATTAAATGCCATTGGTTCTATGTTTGCCTGCAGTGTTTAGGAGGCTCAAATGTGAATAAATTAAATATATAATTCAGTGTTTCCTTGTAAATTCAAAAGGTTTTTTTTAAAGCCAGGTTGACTTAAAATCTTCCAGTAAACCTCAGTATTAGAGGCCAGCATGAGTCATCCGATACATATTTTTTTTTCTGGTGGAGCTTATGAGGAGGAGATCGGAGCACCTTTGGATCTGTCTGGAGTGCTGTGATGATAATCCTTTCTAATCACTAATAACTAATATTTGTTTCAAGTCCCAATGAATTCATTGCATTTAATGCTTCACTTAGTTTTTTTTTGTGTTTTTTTACTGACTACTCCCTTTAAATATTTAGACAAAAGGTTTTCTGATGTATGTAAACAATTGATTAGTCACCTATGCAAAATAGTTGTTATTTTAAGGTTTCCCCCCCCCCCCCCCCCCCCCCCCCCCCAGAAATTTTCAGGGTTCAAGATCCATTTTTTGGGGCAATTGTGGCTCAAAAGAGCTAATGTACTTTTTTTAAATCTTTTTTTTTAAACAAACAAACAAACGCAAGCACGCAAGCACATGCAAACTTGCGCACGCACGCACGTACACAGAGAGAGACAGAGAGAGAGATACATATAACACGTCTGTCACAAGGATGTGATTTGTTTCACTTGACTCAAGCAACGCAAACAAAACTGACCATTGTTTTCAGATCCAACTTGTCGTCATTATCAAAATATATAGTTCTCTCCCCTTTGCTGTCATGAGTCACCACCTGCAAAATACAAAATATTCAAGAAGTATCCAATATTATTAGCTATTTTTAATTAAGTTAACATCTTCTTTAACTACTTTTGCTGACATTAAGAATATAGTGTGAGCATGAACAAGGAAAAAAAAAACACTATAAGTGGAAAGACAGCGTCTGCTTCTTTCTTCTTCATACATGCTGTGTGTCATTCACAACCTCCTTTATCGTGTACTTACAATCAAATCTGACACAGATGATCCTCCATACCATGATGTCAAACTGCCCAACATCTTTTCTCTCGGTCTCACTCTGTCTCTCCTCTCCTCTAACTTTCCTAATTTCATGATGTACTCCAGTTTTCTCTTTCTCATCAGATGACAATAGAATTTAGATTGTCTCTTTCTGATGTGGGCAATAAGTTCTCTCATTACTCTTTTTATCTGTCCAGGGTATTCTCATCATTCAACAATAAGACCACATCTGCGCAGCTTCCAACTAAGTTTTCACTAATCTACCAACTGTCCTTGATTCATTCCGTATATCAAGATAGGATGCTACTTTAAGGCAGACTAATAATTCTGTAAAAAACAAACTATTATGCCAGCGGTGCATCGAGCATACGATGCTGTACACATATTTGTGTAGACCAATTGGCCATCGATGGGTCAAGATCATTCATGTTCCACTTGCACACATCTTTATATCGCAGTAGAGGCCAACCCTGGCATCTTCTACTCATTTATAATTTACCGCTGAGGATGTCCTTAAGGACATCGGCAACCAGGTCGCCATCTGGCAGGCCGGTGGACGACTTCATTGTCTGTCTGGACAGTATTTGGGTCTGTCTCTCTTTATTGCATCAATACTGCAAGAGTCCTTTTCAGGGCTACCTGGTGGAGAGCAATGCTAAGCCATTTTATATGGCTCACATAAACCTAGTCACAGTTAAAACCCAAAGCTCCACCCTTCGGGGAATGCTGGTTGAATGTGACGAAAATATTATTTTTTTCCCAAAGCAAGTCAAGTCCTTAGGGACTCTATCCTCTTCCACCCTCCAAGATTATATGCACTGAAAATGATCCTCTGAAAATTAAAAGAAATCTGTCATGCCACTAAAACAAAAACAAAAAATAATACGTACATTTTTCTTGCGTTTTCCACCTGCAGCCCTACTATCATCAGAGGCACCCACGACAGGCCGAACAAGACCACCCTTGCTGGTGCGAGACAAAACCACAACATTATCTTCTTCCTCTTCTTTTCTCTTTCTCCCTCCCCTTATCTTTCCTGCCTCATCCCTTCTCCTGTGAGAAAAGTCTGGTGCTAACGCTCCACTCTCTGACTTGCTGGCATCTCTAGCTTTCCGAGCATTCTCCAACTGAAGCTTTAGGTCTGCAGCTGTCGCCTGGCACAGAAAGGATAGCATGAATATAAGCTGCCTATTTAGCTACTTGCACTCTGGTATGCTGTGTTAAATAGACATGGGTCAATACACAATTCAGAAACCCTGTAGTGTAGTGGCTAAATGCCATCAAATTAATGATCTTGGTTCTCAGGTTGATCCAGCCTAAAATGGGTACTATATAAAGTCCTGGGTGGTAAAGGTTGTATGATGTTAACCACATATCCCACTGAGTGGTCTTAAAAAAAAACATGCACGTAGCATCATATATATCTGAAACACCACTGGCGTGAAAAAAGTCCTATAAATTCACCATCTATGCCTTTTCTCTGTTTCTATTTAATGGAATCAGTAGAGATAGAAGATTGTTATGGCCTGGACAGAATGAGGCACCTGGGTGTAACCAGAGAGTCTGGCCGGCTCACTACACTCAGAGGAAAGGTAAGACAGATATACAACCAGATTGTGACCGGTATCATCAGTATTAGAACTCTGCGCTGGCTGCTAAAGATAAGGACGGAGCATGCATGGGAATGTCCCGAAAGCTGTGATGTCAATTCTTGACTCAACTCAACTCTGTTTCTACTCCAGTGTAACTTGTCACCAAAATGTGCTTCAAGTCATTACACAATTGCTAACTTGAATCTATTTTTCTACCTCGATGACTTGTCAAAAAAGTAAAGTTAAAGGCAAAATACAATTTATACCTTGAATCTATTTCTATTTCAGTGGAGCTTGTCCCAAAGATTCAATACTTATTGCAAAATTTGTATCTTTTGTCTTGGTCAATGCAAAACTTTCCCCTTTATCTAGGTCTATTCCTGTGTAACTTTTCATAATAATACAGGACCCTTTTCCTCTCATATTTGCATTTTGAACACATAGTACTAGACCTACACTTTTAGACCAACTGGAACAGGATGGGGGACATAGTCAACATCATGCCGGCCTCTTTACTTCCCATAACTATACCTGGTATCTATTTAAGGCTGGGTCAACCTTTAAACAGAAAGTCACGCTTCATTCGGATTTCAACCCATGACCTTCGGATCTGTAGGCAAGCATCTAGCTACTACACTATAGTGGCTCCCCACAATCACAGGGTTAAAATTAATGTAAAAACTTTTATCTATCCCCATCCACAGGGAATTATTTTTTTTTATGACCTTGGCTCCCAGTTTGACCTAGCTTAAAACTTGTGCTGAGTTATATTCTAGAAAGTAAAAGCATCCTGTGTCATGCTGACCACATCACCCTTCGAGGGCAGAATGGTCTATTATCAGTTCCCCGTGTGTGTTCCAGGGCCCTACTGCAGGCGAAACAAGAAGAGTGTTGTGTGCTAAACTCCCCTTGCTGTTCAACTGTACCAGGCTTCAGAGGCGTGATTGCCTGCACCAGTCATAAAAGCGCTAGATGATGCTGATAATGGCAGAGGTGAGTGCAAAAGGTCCACATGGTTAAATTGTGAGACAGGGCTTTCTTGAGATTAATGAATATTGTGAGGCGCAGGTATGACTGGCAGGTGAAAGTTTACCCTGAGAGTTAGTGAGAATGTGAGACCCATGTGCAACCACGAGTGGGAACAGTCACGGGGAGTTGAATGAGTCAGTGCCCCTCAGCCTGTGAGAGAGTTTGGACGTGTGAGTTTTTTAGTAGTAATCAAGTGTATTTTTGTCTTTTAGTGAAAGCTTAGATTGTACCTTCAAATTTGGTGTATAATTCGGAATGCCCCAGTTGAGTGCAGTTAATGGACACAAGGTGTTGAGGGCCTAGCATCTCTTTATGATCTAACTGCAAGGATGTGTTCCTGATCGCATTGGAGACTGACTCGCGAATGCGTGTTGTGGAGGTGTATCGCCATGTGCAATGTCTCTAGCCAGTTATAGGTGACCCAAAGAGTGGGCACATAACCGAGGTGTTTTTTAATTAAGGCCGGTTAAAGGTGACCCAAAGGTGGGTATATAGCCGTGGTGTTTATGAAAGGCTACCGGTGACCCCAGGAGCAGGCCCGTAGGCCGAAGGCTTCTTGAGGTGAAACCGCCTAGGAGGCAGATCAATGAGTATCTGGGGGTATTAGACAGGCAGTAGTTCAGTAATCACCAATTCATCTTCATCACCATATTGTGTTTCGTCCCAATAAATAGGCTGCTGCAGATTATAGAAATGACTTTAAACATGTTGCTATTGATGGTTATCAGTGTTAGTTGTAAGACTATGTGAACCGTGTTAGTTAAGCACTCTATGGTGGGAACCCAATTAGTCGCCAGAAGGTCGACTTGGGAACGTTTATACAGCGTTGGGTGAAGCGTTAATCATTCACCTCTGGACACTTGGCAGATAAGCGGTCCCTACCCCCGGACAGCATACATCAAAGAGACCCACTGCCTACCCAAAGTCATGTCATGAGAGACTGGGAGTTTCCTTTGAGTGCATCTGCATGACAGGCAAGGAACCAACAGTCTGCATATAAATAACCCATATCTGGACAATGGATGCACATGCAAAACTCAAGTTCTAGAACAGGACTACAGTCCAGGAGTTGATGAACAACCAGAACTTTCTGCAGGAGTTTTCAGCCGGTGAAAATGAAGAAGAAAAGAGAAACAATATCAGTCTAGCATCATATGTCTTACGCACCACTAACGTACAAATAATCCTTGACTTTTCACCCCCACCCCAGGAGCCATGGTTTTGCTTGTCAACCCTGTTCTGTATGGTTTTTATTCTACACCCTTGAAACTGGGTATGGTCTTTGCCAGGTCTTAGAAGTTGCATTAAATGGTTGTAGAGCCTGCCCATTATTGGTAGAGTTGTCCATGATGATCTTCTTAAAAAAAAAGTCAGTTATGTATCCTTTAGAGCTGTGGTCTCCAACCTTGGGGGAGGGGGGAGGAGGAGTTAAAGGGGGGGAGGGGGGGTGGGCATGAAGAAGTTTCAAGAGGGGCGTCAATCACTTTTGAAATTAAGTTCATTTGCACTTGTAATCTGGATTTTCAGCTTTATCAGTTTGTTACGTGTTGAATTCATTGGCTGGTCAACTGTACCGAGTACAGAGGCGTGATCGCTTAAACCGGTCGTGAAGGATGATGATAATAGGGATAGTGCGAGTGCATACGGTACACACTGCAAGATGAGGATAGTGACGAGTGCAAAGGGTCCATGCTAAGTAAGTGCTTCTACACTATCACGGATAACCACAGCTTTACAGGGATTGCGACAACAGAAAAGTGAAAACAAAATAGTTTTGCCAGCCTCATATGGAAAGTGATCTACGATGAGCCTTGTCCAATATCAGACTAAAAACAAAAAGCACATATCATCAAGACAAAACAGTGTCAATCATCACAATAATATTTAGACAACTACAGTACCAATTTTTGGTTATCATTTTTTTTGTTATTTGACACTTTGTTTATGTGGATGTTTTTCTTGTTAACAGTGCTTGGCATTTTCTTTGTATTCTCTTTTTAATCACATTTTGTTATGTTGGGGGTGGGGTGTGGGGTGTAAGAGAGTTTTGCCATATACTCAGAGGGTGGTTCAGGGATCGGAAAAAGGTTGGAGAGCACTGGTTTAGAGGACGCTGAAAACCAACCCAAGCATGTCTTGACTGTTTGTGGATTTACTGGGTGATTTTACATTTTGTAGTTTGACATTGATTTCTAAACATTCGACTATCGATGCCATTGTTGAAATCAACCGGTGTTAGACCTACATTTTAAACTGACAGAACAATATACATTAACTCTTTCAGGCCCATGAATTTTGACAGACTTGGCCCACATTAATTTCCCTTTACACAAATGGCAGAGGGGTGGGTGTACAAGAAAGGATGTAGAGATTGTAATATACTTCTAATCCCTATAAAAGTACATATTTTTTAAAAGAGAAATGAATGTACTTTTTGAATCTGATGATAAGTGTTTGTTTGATTTTGTTATAGTTAGTGGAAAAGAAGAATTCAGCAGGTGTTAATTTCACAAGGACAACATTTCACAAAAAAATTCTTCACTTACCATGGTTTTGCAGCCACAAGAATAGTAAATATCCAAATTTGAGAACAAAACTTCAAAGTTTGTTCAATTTCCTAACATATTCTAAAGTTATAACTTTCTGGGTTAGTTTATCACTCAGGGGCTCTTAGTTCCCACCGAGTGCTAAGCAAAATTTCAGAGAAAAACTGGCAGAAAAACACACACACTATTTACTATTCACTTTGTACAGTTATTTACAGACTGTAGCTGCGATGATTTCAATGTAGCTTAGCCATAGTATAGTACTATCTCTTTGTTTAGAGCACTTTCCTTCTCTTACACCATAAATACGGTAGTATGGGACATTGTCTGTGTAATAAACTTGTCAGAATCGCTAGATTCCGAAAAGCTGATCGCTCAGCTTCACTGGTGAAAATTGACTGTCCGAATCACTTTCCGAAAAATCTAAATTTTTATTATCATTATCACAATTAAAAACATCTGGCTGAAACAATTTCAGAGCTTCGGCCGCAGAAAGACGCATTCTGCGACCTGTTCTTGTGGTTAGAACATTGGTATTCAGTGCACTCAAAAACGAACTTAGAAAATGACTTGTTAAAAAAGAAATTGATGTTTTTTTCTCTCAAATTATCCACGTGTGGTTTAGTCCAAGAAATGAAACTAAAAGAATTTCAGCAGAGTGACTCTTCCTGAATAGGTTATTCGTACCTCCAAACATTAGAAACTACTACGAACGTGTGTGCGAAGCAAAATGTAAGAGATACACAATTGATGATGACACTGTTGTTTGGGCAGAACGGAACTTCTCAAACTACGCTCACACCGTTGTTTGGGCCTTAAAGAGTTAAGTGGGTGATATGGTCAACATCATAGCCATTACCACCTTTACTTCCCAGGACTTTATGCCAAGGTCAGTTTGGAAAAATAGGGAAAGCAAACATGAACAAAACATGCTTTTTGAAACTGGATGCATTGAACTATAGACTTGAGAAACATGGCACTCACTTCATGATGATTCAAGCAGACGTGACACTGCACGACACCATCTTTGATAGAAGGTCAATTCTTCAGGGCAAGTTTTGAGCAAAGAAGTTTACAGTTATAGTTAATTTCAAGAGGATTAACTTAACTACCTGGACCCTTACAGATAATTCTCTCTTCAGAAATGACTTAGCACCTGTCAAAAGCATCACACAAAGCATGAACTCCATAATTCCAGTGACAATCCCTGTGGATCTCAGTAAAAATTACACTCATGAACTGAATATCATGTCCATGAAAGAAACCAATGACCTTTGGAGCATACAGCAAATAGCCTAGCAAACTTTTCACGGCAACCAATGATAGTTACCAACTACAGACCAGCTAATGACCAGATGCAGTGTATACTTACATCATCACCCATGATTTCTGCTCTTAAAATTTTGGCTGCTAGTTCATTCAGCTCCTCCTCTGACAACACTCGAGCAGGAGTGATCTGAGTAGGCTCATTCTGTTCTTCATCCTTTGAAGAATCATTGTTTTCTGAGTCACTGCTGCTATCTGTTTCAAAAACATCAATAATCAATGTATACTTATAAACGAGACTGCTCTGTTAATTATCTAGACATTTAGTTTTGTAGTGTCCAAGCTGCTGATCTTCCCAATCTTCACCCTCTTCCATCTACCTTCTAGTTGCTACTTTACTTGCTTCTTGTTTCTTCTCCTTTCTTTACCCTTTTTCCATCTTCAGCTGTACCTACAACTTCCATGCATATTGTTACATGAACATAACATGCTTTAATGATAAACTGCAATTGCGGTCTGAAAAAGTAGCATTTGGAAGGGCTGAATGTAAAATAGACTGGGGTACCCAAATTGCAATGCTTTGGAAAAAAAAAAAAGTATGTTCGTTCCATCTCCTGTCACTTTCTTCATTTTTTTCCTTTCTTTATGGAGTTGGAGGCGGACACTGCAGCTTTCCACTGGTTAGAGAACATGACACACACATATCTTGCTTGTAACTAACTCAGAAAGGATGCTGAGAAAGGTGAGGACAAGGATGCTTCATGCAGTGGCATGCTTCGCTGCGGAGGTCATGGGTGAGGAGTATTATCTGTATCTTTTCTTCAGGCACGCCAGTGTGTTGGAAAATCAACAGGCAGACATACTGGCAGGCTCTGTATGATAAGGGACAAGGGGTTCTGGCCTAAGCTTGACACTCAGATGAAAGGCAAGACAGGCATTTAATCAGAATGCTAGTGGCACCATAGGTATTAGAACTCTGCACTGTCTGCTGAAGATGGGGACGGAGTGCTTATGGGAATTCTCCGAGTGCTGTGATGTCGGTTCTTGAATGAACTCAACTCAACTCATTCCTTTCTTCATCTCTATCCTTCTCTTTTTCAAATTTCTGCTCTGCCCTCTTCTTCTCTTTTTTTCTGTCTGTTTTCTTTTTTCACCTTCCTTGTTGAAGCTGCTGCTGCTTCTTTTTCCTTTACGTTTGTTTTTCAATTTCTGCACACCTCCTAGGATAAACATGAAAATTGTCAATACGTTCAATACAAAGTCTTACCTTCTAAATCTTTTTCCAATATAATGTTCTCATTTTTAAATGTTAGAAATTTTAGCAAAATAAAATATAACTAACAAAAACCACACAAACAAATTTAATGTGTACCTGAGGATGAAGAACTGGACCGTTTGTGATTGCTTCTGCTCTTACTTCCTGAACTCTGTTTACCTTCTGTTTTCTTCTTTCTTTCATTCTTTTCCTCATTCCGATTTGCTACAAACTCTGTTTTTCTCTTCCATCGAGGCAGACTGCTGCTTGAATTTCTGTCTTGTTCTTGTTGTTTGCCATCAGGCTGACTATGTCTTGTTCTGCTTTCATTGCTGTGATGTCTGTTACTATAAAAATGTGCCTTCCTGAGGGTCTTAGCATTTTGATCTTTGTCACTGTTGCTGCCTTTGTAGCCATGACTGTCTCTATTTCTTTCAGATCTTTGAGGGCTGGAGTCACTTTCACTTCCAGAATAAGGACGCTGGAAGCTTGTTTTCTGTAACTGGTCAGCCTTCTTCGGTCTGTTAGCATCTTGATCTTTGTCACTGTTGCTGCCTTTGTAGCTATGGCTGTCTCTATTTCTTTCAGACCTTTGAGGGCTGGAGTCACTTTCACTTCCAGAATAAGGACGCTGGAAGCTTGTTTTCTGTAACTGGTCAGCCTTCTTCGGTCTGTTAGCATCTTGATCTTTGTCACTGCTGCTGCCTTTGTAGCCACTTCTATCTTTGTTCCTTCCAGATCTCCGAGGAGTGGTGTCACTGTCACTTCCTGAACAAGGACGCTGAAAGTTTGTTTTCTGTAATTTGTCAGCCTTCTTCAATCTGTTAGCATCTTCATCTTTGTCATTTCTACTGCCTTTGTAGCCACTTCTATCTCTGTTTCTTTCAGAAATTGAGCCTTGCAATTCACCTCTATCTCCTTCCTTACTTTTCTCCCATTGTCTGTTGCTCTCTTTTTCTCTGCTTTCTCTACCATCTCTGTTATCTTTAGCACCATTTAACATGTCATCTTTTTGTTTATAGTTGCCCTTCTCTCCTCTCCTATCATCACTTCTTGTATCTCTCCATGACTCCAATCTACCACCACCTTTCTGATGCCTCTCAGCCTCTCTAATCATTGACTCCAGTTTCTTCAAGGACTGAAAAAATACAAATATATCAAAGAAATAAACACAAAACCTATACACACAAATAAAGTGTTTTATACAAGAATGGTGATCCTAACCATGTGCTCATCTAAGTTTCCTATTTGATCATGTCTCTATATAAACATCTCAAGTTAGCCAGTGACAGTAAATTATACAACAGGACTCAGGGGCCAAATTGTTTTAAAATGGGAACCGTCGCAGACCAGAAGCCAGAGCACCAGTACAGAATGGTCTGATTACAATTGGCAGGTAATCAGTGAGCCACTTACTAGGCTTCTGTGAGCCAGATTTGGCCAACTGAATAGCCCTGCTCTGATGTCTATGGCTTGTTTCTTAAAAAAATTTGCAATTCCTGTTTGCATGTTGAAGACGAACTTTCTTTAAAGTCTGAGTGCATCTGCCTGAGGAACCACTGTTTGCACATAAATAAGCCAAATCAGTTAAACAGATGTACATTTAAACCTCAAGTTCTTCAACAAGACTTAAGTCTAGAAGTGGACGAACAACCATAACTTTCCACTGCGGTTTACAGTCGATAAACACCAATAAGAAGACAAACAAAGCTTCATACAAAAATAAACCTACCATAAACTGAACTGTTTTAGGGAAAACCTTTAAACCACACGTTTATGCCCTATTCTATATTATTATAATAAGCTGGACTGAAATCAAATAATATCTTGGAGCAAATAAAATCTAACTAACATTGCTCAAAACAACATTTGAAAAAAGGCTGCCATGATAACCATAGTTTGCCATATCCCTACTGGCTACAGTGTGGCCTATGCTGTCTTTTAGAAACACTATGCAGCTGAGGTGCCAATCTCTTCCACAAAACAACTTTTGTACTGCCCTATAAAAATGGCAAGAACATTTTTTTTTTTTTTTTTAATTAAATGTTTGCCTCCTAAATCAGGAAAATTTTTAACTCATTCACTAACCTCTAAGCCACAATGCCACCCAATTTGAAAACTTACTCATGATTGACCATTAAAAAACCTGACAAGCCAAAACTGGTAAATAAATTAAGTAAGTAAAAGTTGTTTTTTTTTAAACATCAGTGGAGCATCTCAGAAACAAATAAGCCACTGTTAGACAAAGGTTCCTTACTCCCCATCTTTCTGCAGCAACTTCCTCAAGACTTCTGCCTTCATCCAAAGCTTGTTGCTTGCAGCGATCATATGCTTTGCGTAACCATGATAAGCCTCCATCTCCTGCAGCGCTTGCCAAAAGCACAGATGATCTGTTCTGCTTGTGTTTGTCTGGGTTTTCTTCAGGCATACCTGTGCCACCATCCTTCCAGTAAGGATTTAATTCCCTGGCATTGCGTCCAGGCTAAGGAAGAAAATAAACATTTATGTAAATAATCATTTGCCTGGGCAACCACTAGTATCAACAGTTATAAGACAGTGCTATATTGGACACATGTCGCCAGGGACTGTTCAATTTAGGATGTTTAATCGATCAAAAACTCCATAACCTTACCAAGGGTGGAACCCTGGTTTCCCGCATGTCAGCCTAACGATGTAACCAATTGAACAACCACAACAACTACTACTAATCTGTTACTACTACCACTGATGCTACTATGAGCAGATTAATCTTGCAGGCAAGGCTGTTACTGTGACTTTAAGCTCTCTCAGTTAACAGTTTCTGTCATAACCCCCCCCCTAACCAATCCACTGACTACTCCTCTCTCCCTTTCAGAAGGATTTGAAATTCATCACCTGACGATATTTTTTTCAACTGACCTTGGCATCCATGCCCACCCAGACTAAAATGAGTAGCAAGAATTGTAATGAGAAGTAAATGGGGCCGGTTTAATATTTACCACATAACCCATCAAGTTCCAGTACTACTACTACCACCACCACATGAGAATGATGAACATAAAATGGGATGAATTCAAAAGTGAAAAAAAAAAAAAAAAAAAAAAATGTCTCAGCAACCACTAGTATCAACTGTTATAATACGGAGAAGATGGGGCTACACTGGAGACTTTCTGAGAAGAGATGAATAGAGAATCAACAAACAGGCACTGAAATGGGAAATAGAGGGACTGAAGAAACAAGGATGCCCAAGGGAAACCCTTCAGTGAATGCTGATGAGAGAAACCAAAGGTGCTGTCCATGATATCAAAGTGACTGCACAAGAAGGAATGGAGAAACAGGCTTCAAGCCCTATGTGATAAATAATGGCACAAAAGAATAATAAATGAATGAGATCTTTTCAAGTACCTCCAGCAGCTTTTCTGCCTCCTTTTTGGCATCTTCCTTCTGTTTATTTATTGCATCTCTAAGTTCTTGTTTGGATGTGGTTGGAATTAAATCTAGTGGAGATTCCATCCAGCTTTCTCGCTTAAGAAAAAGAAATATCATTTAAATATATACATCTGATTATTTACTGCTTAACTATAAGCTATTCTCACAATTTACCTAAACAAAAATTACATACACAAAACTGTTTTATTCAGACATAAAAACAGCTCAGTATGTATACACAACATTTTATACAGACACAGGGGCCACGTTAGCGCAGTCGATAAGAGGCTTGCTTTCAAATCCAGCTGCGACTAGCTGCAGCCCACGGTTGGGTGTTCGAAACCGGGCGGTTCCCTGGGTTCACCCAGCCTCTACGAAATGGGTACCAGAGTTGACACTCTGGGGTAAATGGAGGAACGTCGCTGTAGCTACAGAGTTACGTGCGAATGGCGACACAGGTGGACAATTCTTATCAACTGTCCAAACTGGTGGCAGAGCACTTATGGTTTATAACCGTGTGCAATGACGCTGGTTCGCATCTCCCGACTTTACCTTTCCCTTTATACAGACACAAAAACAACTCAGTATGTATACACAACATTTTATACAGACACAAAAACAACTCAGTACGTATACACAACATTTTATACAGACACAAAATCAGCTCAGTATGTATACACAACATTTTATACAGACACAGAAACAGTCTCATTAGATAAAAAGTTAGATGCACAAGTATGCAGTGGTCAGTTGCTAGAAAAAAAAAAAACTTTACTTCTGTCACTGGAGCTGGTGGTCTAAGTTGGGTATGTTGCTGTGTAAATTCTTCCTCCACTGAGTACTGACTGCAGTTTATGATTTTTGCCTAATAGCTGTCATTTCAGACAAGGCCCTGCATGACTTTTTTCAATGCAGTTGATAATTATTTCAAAGGTGTGGACTGTGCCTGGCTCTGCAGTCAGCTGGTTTGGGATCAGTTTCTTACTCATTTTTTTTTTGTGTGAAAATAAGTAGCCTGTTGATGATCCATAGAACACACGTCAAGCCCCAGGTAATTGGGCACTAGCTCGCCTAGATGGATGGACTCATTTAGGTCAGTTTGTTTTTTCTTCTTTTTCTTCCTTTCCTTCATCCACTTGACGTAATTATGTTGTGCCAGTCTACAGCAAAGCTGTGATATGTGTGCCTTTGGGCTGAGACATCTGACTTCATCGAGCATTTCTTGACCGGGTTTACTTCCCGGATAGTTTACAGGGACATGACGTAGCCTTATTTGTCTATGCAGTAGAATATACCTGCAACTGTGGACCTCTGATGGCTGAAGCAGAAACAGTTTTTGTCTTTGCTTGAGCTTCCACCCACTGCTTTTCATCTGGTCCATCAGCATCCTATTTGAAAGAAAACATTTGGTCAATACAATGAAACAATCAACTTTTTTTTTCTTCAACAAACTCTAATTATTTGTTGTTAGGACTTTTCCTATTTCCAATCAACAGTGATATGATGTACTGCAGCAGTATACCACCCCCTCCCCTCCCCCAGGAATGCATTGGAAAGGAGGGGTTGGGTGGGAGGGCGTCAGGCAATTTTGAAACTGGGTTATTTTTTACCTGTAATAATTAGGGCTGTATCAAATATTCGCTTCGTATTTACTTCGGGGCCGAATAGTGGACCTAATAACTATTTGGTATACTTGCGGTCGGGCCAAATATGAATAGTGGTTACCTTACACCCATTTCTGCATACACTACTTAATAACACAATAGTTGCTGCTGCCTAAGTCTGTCGTAGCGGGGAAAACTGCGACCTGGTTGCGTGGTACAGCAGCTGGCTGGTCTTTGTTTGCTGACTCAACGGAGGCATTATAGCAGAGGTTCTCAAACTGGGTGGGTATGCCAGGGTTGCCGCGGCGAAAATCAAGAAAATTCGGCTATAAATTGTGACATTATTAAAGAAGGCATGAATATACTTAAAAGTTAAAAGTTAAAATTTAAATTGTCTGTCCTCATAACAGTCGAAAAGAGTTTTTCATCCCTTTTTTCACACTCAAAGTGTATCAAACTGCATAAAATGCCAACCGCAGTGTGTGCTTGTGTGTGTGTGTGTGAGAGAGAGAGAGAGAGAGAGAGAGTGTCTGTGTGTGTGTGAGTGAGAGAGAGAGACAGAGAGAGAGAGAGAGAGAGAGAGAGAGAGAGAGAGAGATAATGCATTTTTCATTCTTTCTGGGTGTCTTCGCCCAAATCAAATTTGAGGATATTGCTAACGAGAATATGAAGGTGCGTTTAAATTACATCGAACGATCGACCGAGCAAAAGATGGTTTTGAAAGAGACGGGAGCCCAAAGACAACTAATCACAGACGTCAGAAGGAGACAGTCATCAATTTTCTGCCATGTTATGAGAAGAGGGAAAATGGAACATGTTGTGACCACTGGAAAGATCTGTGGTAGGAGGGATAGAGGAAGACAACGAGAGAAGATCCTTGACAGTATTGTTACATGGCATGGAGGTGTGTCAGCACACGAACTGATACATGCTGCAGGAGATCGTAGACTGTGGCGAAAAATAATCCCCAACGCCAGTCGGCAAGGCACCTGATGATGATTATACACTATTCGTATTCATATTCGGCCGAATAGTTGATCCCACTATTCGTATTCGGCCGAATAGTGAAAATCACTATTCAGTACAGCCCTAGTAATACTATTCAGTACAGCCCTAGTAATAATCCCAACATGCAGCTTTAAATTGTCAGGAATACAAAACATCCCTGCCAGCTTGATGTGATGAGTGATCTCTGTTATGCCTCGTCCAATATCAGAGCAAAAAATAGCAGATGTAATCAAGATAAAACAATGTCAACCATTATACTGAAATTTGGACACTAAATTACCAGAACAGTACTTGGGATTTTTCTTTTTTGTCTACTTTTTAATCCCATTTTGTTTTGTGATTGGTGGGGAGCTAAACTCCTCTACCACTGACAATTAGTCAAATCCGTCATCATAGATTACAGTCATTTCTAGCTACAGTACAGTGTAAAAGTAATCAGTAGACTATTTCAAAGATGTCTGTTTGTTGATACTTTTGTAAATTTTTTTTTTTTTTTAGGCGATGGCGGATAATAGAAACTGATGGTTAATGAGTGGTATAAAATTGTACTGCATTTGAATTCACAATGGGAAACAGTTTATATGAAAATACAGAGTGTCAAGCAGAAGAAAACATTCAAGATAAAAAAATGCAATCTACATCATCAACTCACAGTGTCACTGGAAGAGGAGACTGAAGAATGTTTCTTCTTCTTCTTTTTTTTTTTTTTTTTTAACCGCAACTGAATTCACAATGGGAAACAGTTTGTTAGAAAATACAGAGTGTCAGGCAGAAGTCAACTTTCAAGACAAAAATTTCAATTCACATCATTATCAACTCACACTTTCACTGGCAGATGAGCTTAGAGAATGTTTCTTCTTCTTCTTCTTCTTTTTATCTTTCTTTTCTTTTTTCTTTTTCTTCTTTTCCTTCTTGGCTTTGTCCATTTGCTGAAATAAACATTAGAAAGTGACATTATTAAAGTGACAATATAAACATTATCGCCATGGATACTAATCATTAGTCCCTTAGGACATCCTTTATGGTAAATTAAAAATGGGTAGAAGATGTAAAGGCCGATCTCTACTTTGATATAAAGATGTGTGCATATAGGACATAAATGATACAGGTAATGAGGTGGACTTGTGGACACAAAATGCCATGGACTGTGTTGAGTGGAGAGGGAACATCAGGAAGGCAATGATGAGAATGAAAGAAGAAATGATCGCAGAAAGGATGAGAGCTGAGCATCTAAGAAGAAGCACACTAAATAGAAATATTGATACCAATGGTCCTGAAATCCCATGCTATCATTGTGTAAGACTCTTCCTAACGTGGGCGGGTCTTGCTAGACACATTCACCCTCACCATAGGCTGTGAGTCCCATGACTCCTCAAAGCACAATATACAGGGTTCATAGCCAAATTTACCAATCAATTTCAAGGCTTTTCAAGGTCTTTTTCAAGGTCTCCTTAGTTTTTTTCAAGGTTGTCTCGGTGTAATACTGAAACAAGATTTTTTGCCTTGTTCAAGGGTGTACTGAGCACACAAGGTACTTCATTTGTGCCACATGTGTTGGTATACCAGCACAGATATCATCATCATGTAGCATTTCCTTTGTCCTGACAAAAAAACCTCGGTCTCTCACCAGCTCTCCCGCCTCATGTACTTTTTTTTACTCAAGGAGTCACTTATATCCTGTGCCCATCTTCGTGTTGGTCGGCCCCTGAGCTTGATATAGTGTTTGAAATTTTTTTTTAGGGCTTGGTGGTAGAGGGCGGCAAACTGAAGTCCTGTCTGTTCTGGACCTGGTACCTGAGAGGGTTAGGGGAGAGAGAGAGAGTCATGAAGAGAGGAAGACACATGCTGAGGTAGGCTGGGAGAGACAGTGTAAAGATGGACAGATGAAGGTAGAGAAAAGAAGGAAAAGAAGTCTGGGGAAGGAGGAAAAAATGAGAGGGAGGGATGGAGACATGATGAGGAAAAGTGGGGAAGGGACAGCGAAAGACAGAGAGGGAGACAAATACAGAAAGAGGGAATGCAGATACAGAGATGGGCAGATGAAAAGAGAAGGAAAAGGGAACGAAACAGAGATATGGAAGGAGGAAAATATGACAAAGAGTTGAAAGAAGGGAGACAGAGGGAGAGAGAACGGACAGGGTGAGAAGCAGATGCAAGCAGAGAGAGATGTAGACATAAAGGAGAGAGAGACAAAGGGACAGCACAGAGAGGCAAGCAGACAGAGGGAGAGAACCAAAGAAAGAGAAAAAAAGGCAGAACAGGAGAATGGGAGGGAGGTATACAAAGAGGAAGTGATGAAGGGAGGCAAACAGACATAAAGCAAGAGAGAGAGAGAGAGAGAGAGAGAGAGAGAGAGAGAGAGAGAGAGAGAGAGAGGTGGGTAAGGAAGGCAGTGACAAACACAGATTAAGAGAGAGGGGCAGGAAGGGAGACAAGATACATCAAAGAAAAAAAAACAGCCACCTACTCCCCCCCCCCCCCCCCCCCCCCCCCACACACAATTTCAAGTGTAGTGGGCACAACCACTAGTAAAAGAGTTATGGGGCAAAAAAATACGTAGATGAACCAGTAAAAAAATGGGGGGGGGGGGGGAGAGAATGAGAGAGGGGAGCGGGTAAGGAAATTTAGAGAAAATGAAAAGACAGGATGGAGAGGAGACAAAGAAGAGATGGGACAGGAGAAAGGGCAAGGAAAAGGAAGAGAGGAAGAATGAGAGAAAGGAGAATAGTAGAAGATCAAAGGAAAGAGAAGGGGTGAGAGAAGAAAGGTAAGACACGGTTGTGGGGGGTGGGGGTGGGTGGGGGGGGGGTGTAAGAACAATGAGTGCCAAAAATAGAATTAGGAAAATCTCTAAGTGAGGCCACTTTTTCCAGTTCCTACCCTCTCCCAATGTGAATGTGGCCGTGGTCCAAAAACAACAGTGCTAACCCCTACTGCCCCTTGCTTGTCCTATCTGTGTGTGACAACAATAATTCAATTTCTTACACTTAAGGCTGGTGACCTGAGAGCCAAGGTCATTTTATGAAGAAAAAAAAAAGTCCAGGGGATCCCAACCCACCACTGGTAGAAAATAGAGAAGTTTACCCACACACATAAATAGGTCAGACACATAAATAGGTCAGGGCAGCAGTGGACTTCGTTTTATTTCTGGTTTTCCAATTACAGAAAGGAGGGGAGAGAGGAGGTGGTGGAAAGTGGTGTAGAAGGCTGAGGTGGTAAGGGTGAGAAGGAGGAGGTGAGAGAATAAAGTTTAAGAAAATAAAGTGGGAATGAGACAGGGAGAGAAAGAAGGGAGTAAGAAATAAGATGAGATATAGAGGGAAGAAGGTAGCAGGAAGGGGTGCACTCCCTCCCCTAGGTGTCATCAATGTGGGAGGAAAAAAAAAAAGGGGGGGGGGGGTGACGGCAAATGTGTTTTTAAAAGTACACACATATTTAATGTGTGGGAGGGGGGAATGGTGGACATGAAATGTTCTGCACTAGGCAACACATAACCTTCTACACCAACTGAAGGTATGGAGAAAGAAAGAGAAAGAAAGAGAGAGAGAGAGAGAGAGAGAGAGAGAGAGAGAGAGAGAGAGAGAGAGAGAGAGAGAGAGGGACAAATACAAAGAGAAAGAGAGAGAGGAAAGCAGTGACACAGACAGGCAGAGAGTGAGGAACAGGTAGGACAAAATGTGAGGGGGCGGGAAGGGAGATGGACAGAGATTAAGGCCGCTAGGAAAACAAACACATCAAAAGAAAATATCCACCATGTTCACACAGAATGCCCCCCCCCCCCCAATACAACTTCCTGTGTACTTGAGTTGCTAGGGAGAGTTGTGGAGACACACATTTACTAAACATTTAAACAAGAAATAAAATAGGAAAAAGGGGGAGGGGGGACAGGAAATGAGAGAGTCAATGGAAAGATAGAGAGAAAGAGAAGAAGATAAAGATCAGAAGGGAGGGTTAGAGACAATGCAGGAGACGGGAAGGAAGGAGCAATAGGTAGAAGAGTGAAAGAGGGAGGGAAGAGAGAGAGAGAGGGGTGAGACAACAGAAGAGGGAATCTCGGGGAATTACAATACTGATCGCCAAACAAACTGTCAAGATAAATCCAGGCCAAAAATAGAACTGGGAAATCCAGCTGCAGTCACTTTGCTTAGCCCCAATGCCATCTCTAATTAATAGAGAAGGCCGTGCTTAGCCCCCACCACGGCGACTCTATTTATAAATACAACTGAACCGAGCCCCACCATCTCCCAATGTAATCCTTTCTAGAAACCACGGCCATAAACGATTTTTACTGTTCATTCTGCCCGACTTGCTAGAAACAAAGGCACACACACACGCGCGAGACGGAATCTGCTACTTCCCGCTGCTGTCTGCATGTATTCATGATCTGCAACACAGCCCGCCCTCTCCTGGCCTTTAACAAGCCATTTCGGCTGAAAATAGCCAATAATCAGCTGCCCTCACACCTGAAACGACCATACAACGAAAGTAGCCAAAAACTAGCCAAATGGCCAAAAAAGCCAAATGGCTCCCCCAAAATTGCCTGTGCTAAGAAACACAGGATTTCTGACGATTTCATTGCCGCGGTGGTCAAAATTCACGGCTTTTCAAGGTCGGAATGTCTTTTATAAGCTAAAATTCACGGTTCAAGGTCAACGAAAAAAATCCCGCTAATTTCCCGATTTCCCGGTCCACTACGAACCCTGATTATATAACGATATCCTCTGGTAAGACGTAAAGGTGCCAATGAAATAATCATTAAGACAAAAATTTATCAAAACTGCATTTAGCTAAAACAGTACACAGACTGGAGATTTAGAATGCACCAAGATAAATGGATACCTATAAGGTACGCTTTGCTTTTAGCTACAGTACCGCAATCAGAGGTACCGCAGTGGTGGAGCGGCTAGGCGCTCCAACCGCTGGTCACAAGGTTCATTTCTGCATCGAGTCAGGCTGTTTTTATAAATTACCTTGACTCAAGTTCAACCCAGCCTTAAAGGGGTACCAAGTAAAGTCCTGGGAAATAAAGGTGGCTGGCATGATGTTGACCACTTCCCTCAGAAAGGGTCGACTGGTCTATAAAAATATAAATCTAACATGAAATGCCCAATACGCCACTGGCATAAAAATGGTACTTTATCTGCTTTTACTTACCTCAAAAAGATCAACTCAGAAGATCGGTAAAGACCGACGATGCAGTCCACGGCCATATGGATATGGGAAGCAAGAGGAAACTACCACGTTATTTATCCCATGAAACTTACCGTAATAACTGTAATACTTATAATACACCAAATTCAGCATTTGTGGCTTAGGAGTTAATAATTTCTAAATACCTGGTTTAATTCAGCTGCAGGCAATTTGGAAGCAGGTCACTTTACATTGATTCCAACAAAATTTCGAGAGAGTTGGCTAGTCAGAAGCAACAGCAAACTAGTGAACATAAAACTGCCAAGTAAAACAATAAAAAGCCAATAAACTGGGGTTGATTTACAACGCCTTATAAAGCAAACATGTCAAACATGCAGCCCATGGACTTCATGTGGCCTTTTGGAACCACACCTGCAGCCTGCACAAAGAATGCAAAAACATAAGGATGCATCAATTACTACTGTGTGTGGCCCTTGTGACAACACAAATGTGACCCAAAAGGGCCTCAGCGGACCCTCAGTTTGACATACCTGCTGTAAGGCATAGGCAACTAATTTTTTCCTTGGATACACCAAATTACGCAGAAGGGAAATGGTCACAACAGAAAGGAAATGTTTACATACTATGCTAGGTGTAATGAGGAAAGACTGACTTAGGAACGATGATATCAGGAGGAGAGTTGGCATAGAACCAATACTGAACTTTATAAGTAGACAACAAACCAAATGGTTTGGCCATGTAACAAGACTGGCATTAGAAAGGGCACCACAGAGAGCAGCAATATTATACAGATACAATGGTAGCAGAGCCAGAGGTCGACCATGCAGAATATGGACCACAGAAGTATCCGATACTGAAAAGTACTTTATATGAAGTGAATAGAAAGGCCTGTTCCGGTAATCTCTTCCTGCCCTTATTCCACGAGGCATTCCTTGAGTAGAGAGAAGTAGAAGAAGACACCAAATTATGCAGAAGTGAAGAGTATTAAGAAAGATTATTCTAAACATTAGCCTCAAATATTGGCTTCCTGACGTGAGAAATTAGATGTGATATATTACAAAACTAACGTAGAGATAAAGGTCATCGTACTGAAAAAAATTACTTGTGATCATATTTAAACTCACTTTTTCTTCTTGTCGTATCCTTTGTGATACAGAGTCTAGCATCCATGTGTCCTGTCCTTCTTTGTGAGCTTTTTCTTTCTTAGCTTCAGTACGCTCATAACTTTTTTTAGCCTTTAAGAATGCAAACATGAATAAACAGCATTATCTATCAAAATCTAGTATAGTACATGCTTCCAAAAACTTAAATAACTTTTTTTTTTAAATATTGACTGTGAATTTTCTATACTTAATGACTACTTAGGAGATACCCTTAAAACACTGAAATTATAACTTTTGGTTTCAATAATACTGTGAATGAATATCTATAATGTATTGTATATATGCATGACTTGTTATTTACTTAGTCCTGGGCTGAGGTGACAAAACAAATCAATGCTTGATAAGCGCAGAAAGTTTTCAGTTTAAATGGTCGGATTCAGTTCAAGACTACTTGCTTCATCAAGGAGCTGTGGCCCATGAAGCTGCTAGAACTGTACCAGCAATTCAGAAAAGACAAGCCAGGAAAGACACTGAAGCAAATCACCAGAGAAAAGCGCATTAACGCAGTCGATAGTAGGCTCGCTTTCAAATCTGGCTGCAACTCGCTGCAGTCACGGTCAGTATTCGAAACCGAGTGGTTCCCGGAGTTCACCCAGCCTCTAGGAAATCGGTACGAGAGTTGACACTCTGGGGCAAATGGAGTAATGTCGATGTAGCTACAGAGTTACGTGCGGACGGCAACACAGACGAACAGTTTCTTATCAACTGTCCGTACTGGTGGCAGAGCACTTATTGTTTATAACTGTGTGCAATGACGCTGGTTCACATCTCCTGACTTTACCTTTACCAGGAAGATACAGCTTTTATTTCCTATCCACACTGCTCACGAACTTTCAGTGCTAGAATTGGCCTAATCAGCCATCTGCGCACTCACAAAACCTAATCCAGTCACCACTCGATGAACGGACTGGTCATCATCACTTGTGATGAACGAACAACTAGCTACCACATCATTCTGACCCATTCATGCTCCATCCTTCAATGTAACAGCCACACTGTATGCTCAACGTACCTAGTATGAGTTGACTGGCATATCTTCTTTCTTTGTCCTGCAATTGGTTTCTACATGCTTGTCCTCCATTAATACCCATTTCCAACAGGTGATTTGGTTTCTCATCATCGACTCCTTTTTCTCAGTGTCTCTAGAATGCAGCATATTTAATATATCTGCCCTGTCCATACTTCTTCCTCTAGCAACAACTGCAGACATAGCCGGTCTGTCATCTCTTTCATATCCTTTCACCCTGACATATCCTGGTGTGTATAGCCATGAGAGTTTCTTGAGATGGGACTTTCTGGATGCTGTCATACTAGTCAAGAGTTTTTTTTAGGTCTTCTTAAGCATGCTCACTGAGTATGTCACTATCAATGCATCAGTTGCTTTTGTTCCAACAGCCATGCATGTGCACCTATGACTCTGCTATTTCCACCACCATATTAGAAGCAGATGAAATGAATGCTTGAACTTCTTCCCTACTGTCCTCCCATTCACCTGCACTGTGTATACCCACCGAGACTGCACACCATGAATCACTGAGTCATCTGTATAGATGATGACACCAGGTTGAGTGTGCTGGTGACTGAGGGCTTTATTTCAGCATCAACGGTTGTTTGGCTCCATTCTCTGCAATACAGGGTGATTATTATTTCAATGTGCTCTTGCGTGCTTTCTGATGCTTCTACCAATTCAGCACCGAGCCTGACATATTCCTATGTGCACATGAAGTTAATGGTGACTACTAACTGCAGAGCTGCACAAAATAATTCTGGAAAGTGAGCTTACTGAATGGTTTAAGCTCTGAATCATTGAATGGTTTAAGCTCGAATTCTTTTTTTTTTTTTTTTTATAAAACAATGTTTAGATTAAGTATTCAATTGTCTGCCTTCTGACCCCCAAGTTGAGAACAGGTCTTCATCAACTCTGAACTACTCACGTTAAGCTAAACTCTGAAGACTAACCCTTTGCAGACTCGTTCTTAGTCTAGTCTAGTCGTCGTCTAGTCAATAGGATGACACCAATCAGCGTTATTAAATCATTAAATGTTAAGAAGATGATAGATGGAAAGATTTCGATCAGGCTCAGGTACAGCTAGATTTCATTTTAAAAGATCCTTCAACATCATATTAAACACAACAAACAGTAAACAAGAAGGAGGGAGGGACTCAACAGTGGAACGGTGGTGCTCGGTGCTGGGGACCGCGACTGTAACTACTTTTGATCGCGAAGTTCCTTTTTTTCTTTTTTTTAAAAATTGCACACACAATTTCTTACAACTGCAGATGACATATGTATATTACCTGCTCGATAACTAATTTCCGCTGTCTTCTAATTTCTTCTTTCCGAGCGTCCAGTTCGGACTGACTTTGAAAATTACTGTACATGGTTTATTTACGAAATTGTTTGGCTGGCTTGAAGGGACATCACTGTCGTGGAAAAGGTCGTACACAAATCACCTAACTTTGCCGCAGACTCCAATAAGTTGAAGTTAATAATATAAATTTTGTGGTTCTTAAATTTGTTCCTGTCTGTGTGAAATGACTTTCTCTGTCGTGTCCGGGGGAGTGACGACGGGTTCTGGCCGATGCTTGAAGCTCAGAGGAAAGGCAAGACGGACGTTTAATCAGAATGCTACTGGAACCATTAGTATTGAAACTCCTCTGCATTTGCTGCTGAAGATAGGGACGGAGCACTTATGGGAATGCCCTAGCGCTTTGATGTCTGTTCTTGAATCAACTCAACCCAAATAACGCCCCAGCATGTATATCAGATTTTCTTACCTCTAAGTAGCAGCAGAAGTCACAAACTCTTGAAAAGTGTAATTTTAAAATAGGCCTATTGGTTTAACAAGTAAACTGTCATCTAGATTTGTTTTTGTTTCTGTGTTTGTTTAGCTGTTGCTAAATAATTGTCCCTGTTTTGGTTGGCCTCTGATGAAAAAAAAAAAGTTGAGAAATACTGATCTAATCTGTCTGTCTATCTGTCTATCAACTTCAAAGTCCCGGATAGTTAGCATCTTTTGGATATTTTCTCTGGGTCATGCAGGTGTGTTGGAAATTGAGTAGGCAGATAGACTGGCCGGTTCTACACCACTTGGTGGTGAACTGATGTATAACAAGCTAGATGTTGTAAGGACCCTAGGGAATGAGTGAACAGTGCCGAGGAACAGATAGATCATTACGGTCAGAGAAGAATGGCATTGCAAGGAGTTATAAGGGGATCTGGCCAAAGCTCAACACTCAGGGGAAAGGCGAGACAGATGTACAATTAGACAGTTGCTGATACCATTGGAATTTTAACTCTTAGCTGGCTGCTGAAGGTGGGGAAGGAGCGCTTATGAGGGTGTCCCGAGTGCTGTGATGTCGATTCTTAATTCAGCATCTGCCTATCCGCTTTCATACTAACCTTGCTACTTTAGTGTCTTTTTAGACGATAGTGTTAAATTGCGCTATGTGAAGGCATGTAGAATAACAACCCGTTGTGATGGCAAGGTGACTAGCAATACCAGCTGACTTTAAGAAAAGTCATCCATAATTAAAGCATGGGACTTAAGGACCATTGCTGCCACAGCACTTAACACTATGTCTGTCTATAATGTCTTTCACCTGTACCACTATTCTCTTCCTGAGTTTGCCACTATAGACAACCCGGTCCATGACATTTTCTTTACCTGAATGCACCCTGACACCTGTATCTTGTATATGTTGCCCGTTCATTCATCTTAATATCATAGTAGAGGCCAACCTCGACATCATCTACCCATGTGTAGGCTTAATTCCCCATAAAGGCTATCTTCCGAATAACGGTCCCAAATTATAGAGGCAGAAAATATACTCTAACAGGGCCTCAGTCACGTGTCAATTGCGCACTTCTGGCGACTTAAATTGCGCACTTCTGCCACCGCCGAGCGAATCCCAAGCTCCCTCCCCCCCCCCCCCCCCCCACGCCGCTCATGCGGCGTGGATTGGAGCTAAACTAGATGGCTGGGACTCACGAGCAGCAGCTACCGCATTTCCTGCAGCTGCTTTGATTTTATTTACTCTTGTGTCCCAGCCATCCAGTTTAACCTAACATCCGTATGTTGGGCTTTCTACTCATCACGAGCTGGATTATTTGGAGATCTACAAGGATTCATCACAGTGACGTAACTAGGGTATAGCAGGTAGGGCAGATACCTTAGACGCAGCTGAAAGGGGTCGCAAAAACACTCTTTCTTTATGATGCATTCAGAGCAGAAATTATAAAGTTTGGCTCAAAATATTTTCATAACAGCGAGGGGCCTTTTCTACTAACAAACAACTGTTCAATAAACAAAACTTCGTTTAACAGAAAACTTGAATATGGTCATCGTAAGGAAGTAATTCGGTCATGTTTAATTTATTACCCTTCTAAGAAGTCGGTATTTTGCACCTGTTGTCTTCATTATTCTAAGTCGGATCCCCAATCCTCTCTGGAGCAAGACAATTGATTCCGCTTGTGAAATGCACCTGAAAGGTTGTGTTGATGAAAATACCAAGAACCACCAATTACAAGAAATGGAGATAAATTCAGTTTAAAACAAATTTATTGACTTGCTGTTTCCAATACCTCAGTGTTTGTAATCTTTGTCTTGCCACTTAATGCTAAGTACTTTTTGTAGGCGTCACATATGAAAATTATGAAATCATTTCTCTTGGGACAAATGTCCACCATGGTTCACTCATAAAAAAGAGTGATAAGAACACAAAGCTTGGTAGACCAGGTACCTATTTATCGTCATGTCTATATTCTTCTTCTTCTTCCTGTTCACCGGCTTTAAACTCTGGTGGAAAGTTCTGGGTATTTGCCTACCTCTGGACTTTAGTCTTGTTCCACAACCTGAGGGTTGTGTGCACATCTGTTTGACACATAGGACTTATCTGTATGCAGATTGTTGGTTTCTTGCCTCTCAGGCAAATGCACTCCGACATCAAAGGAAGCACCCAGTTTGTCGACTCTAACAGCATGCTTGTTAAGAAGTCAGTGGGTCTATTCTTGTTTTCCCCATAATGGGGTCCCTGAACCCACACAGGGAGTCATGTCTACATATCCATCCATTCATGCAAGCTCTGACCCCCTAAACCCATCCATCTGCCCATCCATCCATCTGGTACTATTAACCGACGCTGATGAATATGTTGAGAGGGGAATCTGAGCGCCTGTGAATGTGTCCAGAGTGCTGTGAAGATAATCTAACTCATAACTCATAACTCAATAGGGTTGCCAGAACCTCCACTGGGACATCTTAGTTATCAAAACAACAATACAAACTAAAAAAGTACAAATGCTGCTTTAAATGTGAATATATAAATTTATTATGTTTATAAACAGAAAATAAAACAATTTACACATTCAGTCAACACTGATGATATATCTGAACAATATACAAATTTGTTTTATATAAAATTATTTGTGAAGTAACAGTGCATATGATATAGCATCTCAGTTATAGCTTTTTGAAGAACGCATTGAAAGAACTCTTATTTTGGCACACAAGAACAACAGAAAGCAAAAAAGCGAAATACAATGACATTTTGAGTTTGACGTGTCTTTAAAATAAATACATTTTACAACAGTTGTTAAAGTCACCTAGGCCTTATTTTTTTCTAAACTATGAAACTTTCTAGTATAAGGAATGAAATGATTAGCAATGACTAATTAGACTGAATTAGTTTACCTACAGGTAAGATATCAAAGTGAAAATATAAAAATTAAAAAACAATTAGAAAACACAAAGTATAGGCTAGCTTTACAGAATTTTATTACATTAAAGAAAGGTTGTTGCAGTAACAAGCAGTAAGAAGAGGAGAAATACTGACATCTTGAAAGATCGGAACATCAAGGAAGATTGGATAAGAAACAGCATCCTGTCTCGGAAGCTGAAATATTTTGGTCATATCAACCACCACAACGGATTGGTAAAAATAATAGCAGAAGGCATGGTACTAGGAAGGAGGGGCAGGGCCGACCAACACGAAGATGGGCACAGGATATAAGTGACCCCTTGAGTATGAAAGTACATGAGGCAGGAGAGCTAGCGAGAAACCCAGTTTCTTTCAGGCAGACCGTTATGAGAGCGACGTTCTGTAAAGGGCCTGCTACATGATGATGATGATTGTCATATAACAGCATCAACTCCCCTATCACAATAGACTTGCCCACAGTCTGGACACCCCCTCACTAATTGGTGTATCCTTCTTCTTCTTCTTCTTCGCGTTCACCAGCTGTACACTCTGGCGGAAAGTTCTGGTTGCTCGTCCACTACTGAACTGCAGTCCTGCTCCAGAACCTACCAATATCTTGGGTAGTCCGTCCGTAGATATATAGTTCTTTTTTTTATTGGGGAGTCCAGATGTGAGAAACATATAAATCACTCCTAAGTTAATCCTTCTTGGCGTATAGTGTCAATATGTATAATACGACACGTTTTCTGTGCCTGTTCAAGCTTAATAGTTTGACCCCTTCACTACAAGTTCGAGCCATATCATTGCCTAACGGCTGTAGTTAGGGACTAGGATTCTGTACGTCACTACTACTCAGTCCGTTCAAGTGAACAGTTGTGTTTTGGCACTGCGGCCACTTGATCGTTAATAAAGAATCTATTTTCTCAGATAATATTCATCTGCATGGGATGCCAGAGAGTCCAACAAGTGTCCAAGCAATAGTCAGACTGTCCATTCGACTGCCATCCTATGTAGTCCAGCAGTATTGCTATGTCATCTGCATATATGTCGTGAACCTGAGCATCAGGTAAAACTGTGTTATATTGTTCGCAACGCCCGAGTTACTTCGCAGAAGAAGTCCAGCAGTGATTGTCAACTTGTATATGGTCTACACGCTAAGGTTAACACCAGAGAACATCAATGAGAGAGGAATTGATCCTTCTCTACGTCACGAGCGACATAATTATTACTTCACGTGGTTGCATGGAGAGTCAAGAAAGTACAGAGATCTACACTCCTGTGTTGCTGAAACGCTCGTGGATGTTACTCAGATAAGTCCAGTTATCTGCGAGGAGTATCGTGACAACCACCGCTCTCGAACCTTGAGCTATCTCGCTTCTCTCTTCGTGCTAAGATGAGGATGAATCTGTGGCGCTTGATGGAGATTTGTCTTTTAATTCCAGTTCTTCAATGTCAAGTTGAACTTTCTCTTCCAGTTGAATAAGTTGTCTCCTAATGTTTTAGTACTCTATTACACTATGATCTTTGTTCAAAAGTCTTCTTGTTCTTGAACGAAGTTGAGTTGATCTAGTTGCTTGTTTTGGGCTGATGCTGGTCTCCTTATTTCAAAGTGTGTGATTTCTTTTATTTATCATCATAATTTTTTCTACTCTTGAGGTCAAACATATAGAGGAGGAATAGCTGGTGGTCCAGATCTTGATGGTGGCATTGCTATTGTCATGCTGTGTGATGTATGTCTTGGATGTCATCAGTGAGTCTTCTTAGGACCACTCTTTGCTTTCAGATCAGCTCTTCTTAGATATAAACCCTGTGCTGCAAGAAGCCCAGATCATTTGATCTTCTGCTTCTAAGTGTATTTAACACAATCCTTTTGATAGTATCGTTTGTCACTCCGCCTCAGACGGTTCAAAATGTTTACATAACGGAATTATTTTTACAGTGTCAAAGTTTTAGCACTTGTGGCACTGTTTGGTATAAATATATGTAACGGTTTTAACCTGTTGCTTTGAGGACCCTTTTTTTTTTTGGGTGTGTATATATTAACAAAACTGCCCACCTTCCACCACACATGTCTACGCATAATTATCAAAATTTTCTGGCCAGATACAATCTCAAACACTAAACTACTTCAAGTGACAAACCAAGAAACTTTAAACAGTATGATAACCAAGAGAAGATAGAAATGGCTTGGCCACATTATGAGAATGAATCCTGATATACCTGCCAAAACAGCTCTCACATGGACACCAGAGGGGGAAAAAAAAGAGGGGCGACCAAAAACAACATGGAGACGAACGATGACCTGAGTGTGGCATCTTTGGCATGGAAAACTTCACTGAAGATTGCACAGGACAGGAAAGCATGGACAGTCCTCTCTGAAGCCTCATGTGCCACTAGGCATAACAAGAAATGATGATAATGATATATTAACAACAGTGCCAGTTGCTTTCTGGAATGTTATTTCATTTCTGGAATGTACACTGTAAACTGGCAGAATGTTCTGGCTGTTTATCCACTTCTGGACTTTGGTTCTGTTCCATAACTTGAGTTTTATATGTACACTCATTTTACAGACCTGGCTTATTTACAGACTGTTGTTTCCTCCCCTCTCCAGGACTTTGAAGGAAACACCCCTAATTAATTGCCTTTTACAACATGCCTATGGGGAAAAGGGGGGGGGGGGTAAGTGGGTTTATTATTGCATTTTTGACTGATATCATCATGAAAGTCAATAAATTCAAATCTCTGGTAAAAATCATATCATCAGATGGGAAATGTGTGATAGAGATTAAAAGCAGAATAGGTCAAGCGAAAGCGGCATTTCAGAAAATGAAAATATGCAATAAATTGCTCTCATTTAATTATTAAATGAAAAAGAGGGTGCTAAAATGTTACACAGAATCTGTTCTGTTGTATGGCAGAGAATCTTGGAATGTCAGTGAACAAATTAAGAAGAAATTGGAAGCAACAGAGATGTTGTTTCTGAGACGAATGTTATGAATACCTTGGACGTCCAGAGTAACTACCAACGACTGCTTGAAAGAAGCTAATGTAAGTAGATCTCTATATACAACAATACAAAAGATACAAAATTTGGCCACATAATGAGAAGTGAGACATTGGAGCACATCGTGACAACTGGAAAGATCAGTGGAAAAAGGGGTAGAGGCAGACCAAGAGAGATGATGCTGGATGGGCTGAAACAATGGCATGGAGGGATATCATCAAGAGAGCTGTTCCAGGCAACCAGGGATCGTGATATTTGGAGACACATGAGCGCCTATGCCAGTTGGCAGGGCACATGATGACGATCATCATGAAATATATTTATGATACAAAAGTAATAATACTCATAATAATAGTAAAGCAGATCTAATGTTTTTTCTACTGCTGCAGATAATATCAATATACTCATTAATGAATATGAAATTCACACCAATAAAATGTGATTAACACAATGGAATGAATACTATAGTAGTGAGAGCAGGTCTTGCATGCTTAATACCATTATTAGAGTTGAGTAATGTTGATACATTTGGCTGCAGTTTCCTTCAGTCATCCTACAAACAAACAAGAAATCATTTAGCTCACATAAAAGCCAACCTGTTTCATGAATTAGAAAGCAACTTAAAAAAAAAAATTATAAAGTTAGTTGCATATCCTTTTCAGGAAGTCATAACCCAACTTTATCTATTGGTTGTGTGGTTTTATTAGGCAAGGTTTGCAATAAGTAAAATTGTATAAGTATATGTGTGTGTGTGTGGGTATATATATATATATATATATATATATATATATATATATATATATATATATATATATATATATATATATATATATATATATATATATATATATATATATATATATATATATATATACACACACACACAGACACATGTATACACACACATACATATGTGTGTGTATATATATATATATATATATATATATATATATATATATATATATATATATATATATATATATATATATATATATATATATATATACACACACACACACATATGTGCGTATGTAAGTTGTGTATGTGTGTGTGTGTGAGTGTGTGTGTGTGTGTATATATATACAAACACACACATATATATACACACACACACATATATGTGTGTATGTAAGTTGTGTGTGTGTGTGTGTGTGTGTGTGTGTGTATATATATATATATATATATATATATATATATATATATATATATATATATAGAGAGAGAGAGAGAGAGAGAGAGAGAGAGAGAGAGAGAGAGAGAGAGAGAGAGAGAGAGAGAGAGACCCAGTTCAATTTTTTTAAATTTTAATTACATTTCTTCTCCAGTTTTTTCCAAATGTGTTGTCATTTGTTCGATAATATAGACATTAAAGACCACATTTTTTTCTACTACGTATTCCAGGTTTCATGTTGACCATTGCTTCTTATTCTTCTTTGTTCACCAGCTGTAAGCATGAGTGTTACGTAACATACATTTTACTGGCTTATTTGTGTGCAGTTGGTTTTTCTTTGCTCAAGTAGATGCACTCCCACTTGGAAGGAAGTCCCCAGTTAGTCAACTCCTGCGACATGCTTGTTGGGGAGGCAGTGGGTCTATTCTTGTTTTCCCCACCACTGGGACACGGAACCCACACGGGGAGTTGACCAATGCTGTTAATAAGCTCTACTGTCTCCTTTTTTAGTCACATTTTGTGTTCAATTTAGTATTTCACTGATTTAAAACTTTGGTCAAAACATCTGGTTACATTTGTGTGTGTCTTTTCCATTCCCTCTGTTCAACTTTCTGGTCACAATCTATGTTGTATTTAATTTAGGTCCATAAGTTTGCCTTTGCTTTCTGAACAGTATGACATTTATGCTGTTGTCAAAATCAATGTAGTGCTACCAAATCAACTGTAGCTTAACCCTAGTAAGTAAGGATGGTTAAACTTCAGTCACAAACCGCAGGTCACAGGCACAGAATGATAAACAAAGTAACATGTATTGATTGACACTCACAGAAAGAAGTAGAGACGGCGGGACACACTAATCATCATCATAAATCAGCTGGTGTTCTACAGAATGTCGCTCTCAACATGGCATGCCTCTTTCTCTAGCCAATTCTAAAGCCCTTTGCTTTCATAGCTATTGCATCTTCGATGTCTTGACCCACTTTCATGAAGGTCTGCCTCTGACTCATTTTCTGGAAACTGTACCCTTCATAACCACTTTCTCCAGGCCTCCATGTGGTGAAACATGGTCAAAATAGCTCAGCTTTCAAGAGAGGATGTTATTTATAAGTCAAATCTCTTTGATGCTCAGATCATGCAGGATGCCAATGTTCTTATTCTTCTTGGTCCAAGGTATTTTTCCACAGCATTTAATTCCAAAAGCTAAGACTGAGGATACACTAGACAACAATAAAATTAAAAGCTATAGTTGCCACAGCAGGACTCAAATCTGCCACATAAGAATTACTTGCCACATATAGCATATATATGTTATGTCGTCTAGTGTATCTTCTTATTTCTAATTCTTTTTTTATGTTAAGTTACTTATCACACTATTTCCATGACCTCAAGAGTTCTCCAGGCATTCATTTAAGTCACAGACACCAACAGTAAAGAAAGAACATAAAGAAAATCAAATCCTCCTATTCATTGTCACTGCCAGAAATCAAAACACTTATCAAGGGAAAATACAAGGAATTGTGGAGAGAACAAACCAATAGTAAACATCAAGAAGACTCCATCAGTAGACTCAAAAGAAAGAAACATTCAAAAATTGTACGTCTCAGAACAGCATACTGAGGCTCAACTACCACATGCATTAAAAAAAAAAGATTGTACAGTCTTCATAGCTGTGCCTGTCAGACAGGACCACAAACACCTGAGCACATTCTGCAGACCTGCCCACTCTACCTACAACTTTGAAAAGAAACCAGAGTAAAGTGTGCAGAGCAAGCTATGGGGAACCATGAAGGACCTGCAGCTGACGTGAGTTCATAGAGGCAGCTCACATAGTGGCCTGACTCAAGCATTCAAAATCAAACACGAAGAAGAAGAAGAAGAAGAAGAAATTCTCCCTGAGCCAAAGTACTTTAAAAAATAACATAACTGGTATTCTTTTTTCTATGTCAAATCATTGTCATGGTCTATAACTGTTTTCTATTTTCAGAAATATGAGCCCATGTAGCATTGCCATTGTCTTTCCATTTTTTAATCTTCATTAGTTTGGAAGAGTGGAATTGTGGAGTTAAGCAAAACTTACATCAACCTGTAGCACCCAGTGTTGACAGTTAGGATATTTAGAATTAATATCGTATGGCATAAATGGTAAAGGACCCTTTTCCATGCCTTTAAGTATACTGGCATATGGTGGTAAACCTATATTTCAAACCAATCGACACTCAGCAGGTGATGTAGTAAGCATCAGGCCAGCCAACTTTGCTTCCCAGGAATTTACCTTGTACCCATTTAAGGTTGGGTTGACCTGGGAGCTAAGGTCATGCTTGAAAAAATCTGGCACCATGCGTTTTAGTTTCTGTCTGATTGTATGTCCAGACTTAAGTATGAGCGCCAAGAAACAGATTATAAACAGCATATTCATACGAACACTGTGCTACCAGTGCCAGACATGGACATTATCAAAGGTTAATTTATGTAAAACTAACACAGGTGAAATGAGATGCCTGAGAAAAGCCGCCAACTAAACCATCCGAGACAAAGTTAGAAATGATATTATCAGACAGACTGTAGGAACAACACCATGCAGCAAATTCATTGAGAAACAGAAGATCAAATGGTTTGGTCATCTAGTAAGAATGTAGCCAGAACAACTACCATCTCATGCTCTACACAGTAAAAGATTTGAAGTGAAATCAAGAGGCCACCCTAGGAGATCATGGATTGATGACATTAAAGACTTCTACACTGACACAGAATGAAAATAGTCATGCCTGCCTATCAAGCAATAGATCGCAAACTGTTCCTCCCCACAACACTTGATGACAGAAATGGAAACTGATGATGATGATGATGACAGCCAGATACAAGATACAATTACAAATTACTTACCCATTCATCATCAGCAATTTCTGACTTGTCTGTGCTCCCTTGATTACCCAAGGAAGATTTCACTGCCATGATTTTATCAGTCCAGTTACTTCCAACAGTCTCATCCCCAACAAAATTGCCTGCAGTTGCTGACATTCCATCATCTTTTAAAACCAAACTTTCTGTGGAAAAAGAAAAACAAATAAAACATATCATCTTCTTTGTTCACCGGCTGTAAGCTCCAGCAAAACATCTTGGTTATTCATCCACCTGGACTTTGGCTTTGTGCCAAGGCCTGAGTTTTGCATTTACATCAACATTACTGGCTTATTTGTGTGCAGCTGGTTGTTCCTTGCCGCTCAGACAGATGCACTCTGACTTTGCAGGAAGCTCCCAATTAGTCAACTTCTATGACATGCTTGCTGGGGAGGCAGTGGATTTATTCTTGTTGTCCCCTGAAAATGGAGCCCCAGAACCCACACAGGGAAAACAATGATATGACACTGCACACTTGCCACTAACTATAGTTCTAGGTATAACTAAATATTGCTTACTACTGCCATCAAGCCAAGGGAAAAGTGTAAATAAAAACTGTTGATGCCCCCACTCCCTTCCCCAGTTCCAGCACCATGGTTATAACACATTTTACAATCGACAATCAAGTATATATTTACACATTCAAATTAAAACATACCCACAAATGGATTATTCCCAGCAGTTTTAACTCTCACTGGAACATCGTTGAAAAGCTCCAGTTTATCTCGATCTTCCTCTCTCATTAAAAGAGTTACATCAGCTTCTGAAGATTTCTCCACGATTTCTGCAATCATGGAACTAACATTTTTTTTCTCGATAAGTGCTTTCACTTCATCTGTCGAAAGTTTGTCTGTTTTTCCTTTGGCTTTGACATCTGAAATATTTTTTTTTAATGCAAATGTAAAGAATGCACTGACATTATTATTATTATTATTTAAAATTGGCACACATTTTTAAATGCTCGCCTGCAGATCGGAAGGTCATTGGTTCGCTCCCTGGTGGAGCCAGACTTTAAAATAAAAAAATTAACTTGGCTCCCAGGTCGACCCAGCCTAAAGTGGGTACCGGCTGCAGTCTCGGGAAGTAAAGGCGGTTGATGTGATGCTAACCACATCACCCATCTTGTGCCAATTAGTCTATAAAATATAGGTCTAGCCCTATATGCCCTATAAGCCTAAAGGCGTGGAAAATGGAAAAGGGTCCTTTACTTTACACATTTATAAAGCATTCATTATCATCATTAAGTAGCAGGTCCATTAAAGAACACTATCCCCTTCACAGCACACCTGACAGAAACTTGCTCCCTAGCCATATATTCTTATGCACTTTCCAGTACGGAGTATCTCATATGTCCTGCTCACATCTTTGTGCTAATCATGGCACCCTAACCTAAGTAAAAGTATGACTATTCATACGTAAGAGATAAAAAAAATGTAACTCGTATGTCTTTGAATATTTCTCGGTGCCCCTGTGAAGAGGTCGTGGCTCCCTGGGGCCCGCGGCGCAGTTTGGGAACCACTGGGCAAAAGTATTTCAGTTTCTGACACAGGATAGTGTTTACTAGCCAAATGTCTTTGATGTTCAGATCTTTGAGACAGTCCATGTCTCAACATCAGTAAGTTGCTATATGACCAGTGAATGCTCTCGAAAGTTTTGAGTTTGATTTTTGTTCCTTTGTTTTCCCCCTGCCATTCATGGATATTCAGTTTGTTGCAGTTTCAATATCTTCATTATCTATTGTTATTTCTGAGGGACAAAGGCATTATTAAAATAAAATTATAAATTTTGGGGTGATTGCTTTTCAAATACATAATACAGTTTATTGTTGACAGTTGTCTTTTTTTTTTCTTTTAACTGTGGCATACCCACAATGCATGCTGGCTTCAATGTATCCATTGCTAACTACAGAAATATTACAAGATGATGCCCTCAGTTTCTTCCACAGTACAACTCTTGTACCACAGTATGAAAGTCATGAGAATGTCCTTTTTCTTAACCACCTACTGTAGGAACGGATCCCTGGTAAACGTTGAGGATTGCATTGTGAAACAATATCACACCTCTTAGCCACAGAGGTACTCAGAAACTAACTATACACCAATTACATCTATTTTGAAAGAAAGAAAAAAGTTATAGATATTGTAAAGCATTTCTTTATTTATTACCTTTATCTATTGAATGTACAATATTTGTGTAAAAGAAAAAAAAGTCCCTTCGCATTTATTTATTCATTTATAGGTCGTGCACAGTTATTTTTTGAATAGATAAATAGCAGGTGCATATTTTTTTCAAATGCTCTGTATAAATACTGGATTCTTTACTTTCCTCAAGTCACTGGGTATATGATCATTATGAATACATAAACAAATATTCTAACAATTTGAAATATAGACTAACAAATACACTGCACAATTTATTGCTTGGCATATCTTGTGGTAATTTTCAGGCGCATTGTTAGTTACATCAACATATAATGTGAAATGTTTAAACAAACACACAAGAATAAAGAAGCAGATCTTTCAGATGTATGTACATCTGTCTTCCTGTCCCACCATTCATGTTTCCACCCATCCATTCATATATACAGTATTCATCCATTCATTATCCATCCATCCATGTACATAAATAAATACTGTATATCATAAATGACTAAAAGATATTTTTGATGGCTGTTTGCAAACCCCCATTTGAAATTCCAGGATGACACATTTTTTATAATAATTCTTCTTTGACTTTTCTTACTACAAAGTCAAAAACAGATTATATGTGAAGAACCAGCAAAGTCCTTTAGTTCTAATAAATTCTATTATTCTCATGCTCATTTACTGAAAACAGCATCGAACACATACCATAAGAAGAGTTAAGATATCCTGTTGAGACTTTGGTAGTTTCGCTGAAGTTAGGTTCTATTTCTGCCCCATCTGCACCAAACTTTCGCTTGTGTGCTTTTGTAATCTTCATAAACAAGAGATAGTAACGTGCCTAAAACATGTAAATAAAGAAATGTGTTAGTTTCTTTCGTAAATTACACATTAAGCTTTTAATAATATCTCAGATGTATGCATTTTATAAATTAAAAAACAAATTACAAGATGAACCAAGGCAGCTGGACTGTGTATGGTCAACAAGGATCCAATAATATTTGTAAGTAGTAAAGATATTTACATAATCACAGGTTTAAGATTAAAAGATGGGCTGGTTGGCAAATCCTTTGGACAAATGAATTTAATGCTTAAACCCATGTATTGAGGTACATGTGCATAGTTTTATAAATCTCAGAAGTCCACATGGAAGCTCCTCTTAAAGGCTGCACAGTTTAACCCTCTCAGCCGAAGAACTCAGTTTTTGTGGCTTTTTATGTGTTTTGGTTGTATTGATGTCTCTGGAATGTGCCCAATATGCCTATATGACAGCTGCTGTAGTGGTTGCAAATGCATAGTGCATAGACATGGTGGGTATGATTATTTTCAACCTTCCTGGTATACATTTCAGACGTTTAGGCTCTGGACTCAACTTGCATATTGTTTCTTGTGGTACTTCTTGTTTATCATGAGCTACAAACATTAGGGACCATTTTCAATTGTTTACTTTTACCCATGTGGGTTCTAGGGCCCCATTGTGGGAAAAACAAGAATAGACCCAATGCCTCCCCAACAAGCATGTCGTAAGGGTTGACTAATTGGGGGCTTCCTTTAAAGTCAGAATGCATCTGCCCGGGGAGCAAGAAACCCAGAGTCTGTATACATGTAAGCCAGATCTGTGAAACAGATGTGCACAGAACACTCAGTTCTGGAACAAGACTTGAGTCTAGAGGTGGGCAAACAACCAGAACTTTCTGCTCTAGTTTACAGCCAGCAAACAAAGCAAAAGAAGAAGAGGAAGATTGCTTACTTTTGGTGCTGCTGATTCTGGTTTACTTGCAATGCTAATTCTTGCCTGACTGAGAACTTTGCCTTCAAAGATAACGCCAGATTGTTCCCTGGATGAACAGAGAAGAATCTAATAATTTTATTTTACAATCATCACCACCATCATTGTCACCAATACCACCACCACCACCTCATCATTAATATCATCATTATAGTCATCATCATCATCATCATGTGTCTTGCCAGATGACATTAGTGCTTATGTCTCTCCACAGATCTCAGACCAGAGTGTTCCAGATCAGGTCCATTAATATCAAAGAAATTGATCCTGCTTAACTCTTTCAGCATTTAACTGCAATTAATTTAACTCTTTCTATTTTAAAAAGTTCAAATTTAAAGCACCTAATCCCCCATGTGGGTTCCGGGGCCCTATTATAGGGAAAACAGGAATAGACCCACTGCCTACCCGAAGCATGTCGTAAGAGTCAACTAACTGAGAGCTTCCTTCGAAGTCAGAGTGCATCTGCCCGAGAGGCAAGGAACCAGCAGTCTGCACACAAATGTGTCAGATCTGTCAAATGGATGCACATGCAACACTCAGGTTCTGGAACAAGACTGCAGATCAGAAGTGGACTAACTACGAGAACTTTCTACTAGAGTTTACAGCTGGTAAATGTGAAGAAGAAGAAAGCACCTAATGTTTAAGTGTTGGTATCTGTGTCTTAGGCATTTTGTCTCTTTCAGATGTTGGCGCTCAATTCTTTTCGTGAGTTAGCATCTTTCAAGACATCTTCATTACTCACTGTATCTACCCAGATAATTCTCATCGGTTGTCTATAAAACCACATCTCCACAACTTCCAAATACTTTATCAATAATCTAACAGCCGTTCATGATTCATAGTACCCTAAAATAAAATAACATTTTAAGGAATGATACTAAGTGTGTTTGAATATTTTGTGGTCCTATAATCATATTTATTATTACCAAGTCTAAAATGGTAATTCAGGAGCCATGCTAACACTGTGGCTGGACACTTGCCTGATGCCTGAAAGGGTTGGGTTAGAAATTATCAGCAAATTGGAAGTAAAGGTAATCAGCGTAATGTTAATTTCATCACCCACATAGTATGATAGAGTAATCAATGGTCTTTAAAATCTGGCGTGTAACCATTAGGCCAATATGGCTCTCAATAATGTCTGTATTTACTGCTCTTTTTTTGGATGAGATGATGATAGACTCGGGATGGGGGGGGGGGGGGGGGGGGGGATTTGCCTTTCAGCCTGACGTTAAAACTCTTTTTATTGTATTTGGAGTAACACACTCTAAAAGTATTCTAGGTAGTGTAATCCCAGAAAGTTATGGAAAATATCCAGTAATTTGTTTTTATTATTATTATTCTGCTGGGTCATCCCTTGAACGGTTCTCCTTTAAACTACGGCCGGTTAGACGGCCGGTTAGTCAGAGTTCAGTCCCCTGGCTACAGTGCAATTACGGAGTGGAGAAGGCATGAATCACAAAACAAAGTTCCGTCGACATGGCTGCTAGAGCTAGACCACGCGCTGCGACTCACATTAGCGACTGCGTTCTTGCAACTCCTGTGTCAAAATTATCAGATATAGCGGCCGTCATTATGGGTAAGCACTCGACGTTACATGTGTTACCCTAACCCTAACCCAAACCCAAACCATACCCCTAACCCTAAACCAAACCCTAACCGTAACCCTAACCCAAACCCTAGCCGTATGATGACAGCAGGGCAATGCACGCTGTCTATCGCAAACACACAGTAATTATGTCATTTGTTTCGTTCCCTCTTTTCCACTCCGTAATTGCACTGCAGCCAAGGGACTGAACTCTGACTAACCGGCCGTCTAACCGGCCGTAGTTTAAAGGAGAGCCCCCTTGAGCTTTATGTAAAAATAGTTGTGAATGTTATTAGTTCAACATAGACCTAAGAAGAACATGTTCACATTTTGAGTCAGAAGACTAAGGTTTTATGGCTCTTCTTTCAATACCGGACGAGGGCTTGTCGGCTTAGTTCGGTTTAGTGGGAGTTCTCTCCCTTGGCCGCACTGCAAACAGTGAGCGGAAAAGTCCACGAAACAAATGACATACTTAGCTATCATCATATGGTTGCGTGTAGGGTTGCGTACGGTTGCGTGAAGGGTTGCGTAGTCATTATACGGTTGCGTGAAGGGTTGTGTAGTCATCATACTGTTGCGTGTAGGGTTGCCTATCATCATACGGTTGCGTGTAGGGTTGCGTAGGGTTTGGGTTAGGGTTACGGTTAGGGGTAGGGTTAAGGGTTAGGGTTAGGGTTAGATATGAAAATTTTGACGTAGGATTTCTAAATACTGGCCGACAATCTGATGCTTGTGGGAGTGGCGCCACTGAAATTCTGGCAAATATGACGCCAATAGCGCGCGGGTGGTGCCCAATCGTTGGCGAATTGTCCGTTTGACTAGCATCCACAGGCCTTCGATTGTTTGTGTGTGTATGTGACTGTGCGCAACGTCGACGAAGTTGGTCTTGTGGACTACTACCTCGTGCAGATAGATGCCATGCCTTAAGTTTGTGACGTTGCTGTAGCCTTGCCAAGCGTCAATTTTCACATCTAACCCAACCCCTACCTCTATCCCTAACCCTAACCCAAACCCGCCGCAACCGTATGATGATAGACACCCTACGCAACCCTACACGCAACCGTATGATGACCACGCAATCCTTCACGCAACCGTATGATGACTACGCAACCCTAAACGCAACCATACGCAACCCTACACGCAACCGTATGATGATAGCTAAGTATGTCATTTGTTTCGTGGACTTTTCCGCTCACTGTTTGCAGTGCGGCCAAGGGAGAGAACTCCCACTAAACTGAACTAAGCCGTCCAGCCCGCGTCTGGTATTGAAAGAAGAGCCGGTTTTATCCCATATGGCTATGGCTCTGTGTCTCTCCACTTAACAGATATCCACCTGCCGATAATATTATTATACAGAGCATGAACTACAGTTACTTAGCTCTAGCCTCCAGCCACGACCCTACTGTTGGTGAGCGTCAGTACAATTTGCACCCCTGGGCTCAACTAAAACTCGTGTTTGTATTAGTTTTAAAAAACTAAAGCTACGATCAACAATAATTTACTGCTTCACACCTTGCAACTAATATTTACAAATTAATACTATTTTAAAAAAAAAAAAATTCTACAGAAAACTCAGGGACACCCATAATAAATAATATAATACACGAAACAGAAATAAAACTAATAGTAATAGTATAATATACTTCTTAGCAGTCGTCCAATCATTGTGATTCCAGATTCCATTCCACTGAACATTCTGCACTGGTAAATTAGCCAGGGGTTTGTTGTCGTATAGTCTACTCATTTCGATATCAATAATATACCTACATTACTTTACAGGTATTTTTATAAAACATTATACTTCCGCGGTTCTTGTTACCGAAAATATCCGTAGACATTACGGTTGCTGAAGAGTCTGGGACCTGTAAAGGAAAGATGATAATGAAGAGTACAGGCCACCTTATCAGAGGCATCTGGATTCTGGGAGCCAGCTGGTACACTTGTAGCCCCCTTCTCGATAATAAAAAAGTTATTCTTACCTCCCCCACCCTTTGTCTAGAAAATATATAAACGGGCGTAGCGGCTTTCATAATCATGTATTGTATATATGTTCTCCTTAATAGTATTAATTTGAATGATACTTTCCATTTAATTTCAGATACATTTTCTGGCCATTCATCATCATCATCATATTATTATTATTTTTTTTATTAATAACTGTTATCTTCTTCTTCTCATCCACATTGTACCTCTGCGAAGTGTAAAATTAATTGATGAGCTCTGTCAAGAGCATTATATAAATTTATGTTTATTTCTGTAAGACTGTTCTTACTGCCATCACTCCATGTTTCCGAGGTCTTCCGCTCACTCTATACCCGTTGTAACGCTTCAGTGTGGCAGATGTACCAGGGCATTCTTGTTAGGTGTCCAAACCACTTCATTTGTTTTTCTATGATGACCTGTAAGACTGGCTTTATTCCAAGTATTCGTTTTTTTTTTTTTTTTTCTGGATTTCCTATTCTGTCTTTCATTGAAACTCCTGCAGCTTTTCTAAGGCATTTCATCTCTGCTGTCACAATTTTACGTTCATTAGAGGATGTAAGTGTCCACGTTTGGCGCTGATAGCATAGTGTTGGCAAAAAAAAAAAAAAAGCGCTGATAAGATTCATTTTAGTACTCCGGGGTATCTGCTTGTGTGTCAACAGGGAAGATAGTTGCCCCCATTACTTGATTCGTTTTTGCACATCTCGAGCTAATTTCTCTGTCCAGTTTTCCATCGGATGTGAAAATTGCTTTCAAATACTTGAATTCCTCTGTTTGTCTTAAGGCGTTGTTTTTTAATTTTATGTCTAAATTGTCTTTCTGTCTTCCTATCACAATTGTCTGTCTTCAAAGTGTTTATTTTCATATTATATTCCTTTCCTTTGTTATTAATTTCATTTAGGTGGTTCTATAGGCATTCCGTACTTTCTGCTATGAGTACCCACCTGGTCGTCGGCGAAAAGTAATTCTTTAACATCCTTTTCATGATTAAAGTTCGTTTCCTTACATATAGTATCCATGTATGTTATAAAAAGAAGTGGTGCACGTACACAAGAGTACGTTCTTGACAATCTTGCCTTCGATCTTATACATCATTTACTACGTGTGTACAGGCTTTTGCAAATATTAACGAGATGATTGTTGATTCCCTTTTCCCCCATAAATTCCCACAACACATTTCTGTCGACTCAATCAAAGGCTTTTTTCTGGTCTATGAATGTCGACAAACAGGTCTTATCGTGTTCTTTTGCTCTCTCTCTCTCTCTCTCTCTCTCTCTCTCTCTCTCTCTCTCTCTCTCTCTCTCTCTCTCTCTCTCTCTCTCTCTCTCTCTCTCTCTGATAGTTGTCTGAGTGTATAAATGGCGTCTGTGCAACTTCTGTTTCGTCGAAAGCTCGTCTGTGCTTCTGAAAGTTGATACTCTATCATTGGTCTTAGCCCTCTTTAGATGATTTTAGCATACATTTTTCCAGTTGATAACTGTTACCAAGCTCTTAGATATGTCTCGGGCTCCTTACACTCCCCAAGTTTGTAAGAAAGCTGAGTCTCCCGCCTTTAAATATCTCCAGGGTTATCTTTTTGTCGGCGCCATTGCGCCCTACTTCACATATTGTGGCTTTGAGTTATGATAATGCTGTTCACACTTTATCAGCACTCAATCGTCTCAGTGATTGATTATGGATTAGGGTTACTCACTGTCTCGAAGAGTCTCTATAGAAACTGGAGCGCATACAGAATGAAGCTATGCGGCAGATAATGGGATGTACAAGAGACACCCGATTGTGTGCACGCTATAAATCCATGCATTGCCGACTATTGCACATAGGCTAAAAGGGCTGCAGGCTAAGTCATACCTCAGAGTAGCTGCAGACATGGAACACCTTCTGTATGAAGCTTTGGCTGAGGTAAGGGTTAGGGGCTGAAAAGGGGAAAATCGTGGATGGTTTAAGCAGAAGACACAATTAGACAAGTATACACACTGGAGAACACAGCGAGAAGAGGGGTGGGTCAGAGTACCAGCGGAAAAGTATGACCTGTGTAGGGTTATGATCTCACATTGGGCTTGGAGTGCAGAGAGTGGCCAGCGGGTGCTACGGAGGTGGAAGTCCACCAGTTGATTCATGACAATTCACGCCCAGGGGATCTGATTATCTATACAGATGGTTAGGTGTTGAGAGGGAGGTGAAGTGCCTGGGGGTTTGTAGCGAAAGCCAATGGAAAATCTTTAGTGTAAGACAGCCTGGCATACGACACCACAACATCTAGCGCGAGAATGGAGATTTAGGCGGTAACTGCAGCTCTTCGGTGGCTAGAGAACAAGATGCATACACATATAGTAATTGTAACAGACTCTGAAAGCACACTGAGAAAGGTGAAGACAGAGTGGCAAGCTTCACTGGAAAGGTCACGGGTAGTGAGCATACTTTAGATCTTTTCTCCAGACCATGACAGCAGGGTGGGTAATGAACAGACAGACAGACTGGCTGGATCTGCACCATTGGGTGGCGAATTGATTCATGACAATGCAGGTGTGGTCAAGGCCTTTTGGGGAAAAAGCAACAAAATCAGTAGAGATAGGAGATTATTATGGCCTGGAGATAAAGAGGCATCAGGGTGTAGCAAGAGGGTCTGGTGGCTCAATACACTCAGAGGAAAGGCCAGACGGACATATAACCAGACTGTGACCAGTACCATCAGTATTGGAACTCTGCGCTAGTTGCTGAAGATGAGGACGGAGCATGCATGGGAATGTCCCGAGTGCTGTGATGTCAATTCTTGACTCAACTCAACTCAACTCTCAAGCACGTTGAAACATTTAAGTGCTTGGGTACCCTGAAAACAGTAGATGGAAGATGGAATGGCTCAATCAAATACAGCATTGTACAAACTGAAGAATATTCTGTGCAATCTTCCTTTGTCGGTTGAGACAAGAAAGAGAATTCTCAAGAGCTGTGTGAATATTATCCTGGCATACGGAAGTAAATCATGGACAGTTAGTCGATTGAAAAAAAAAAGGGGGGGGGGGGTGGAAGCGCCACAGATGTGGTTTTTTAATCTAGATTTAAAAAAATAAATAACAGGAGTAGGCCTATTGAAGATGTCTTCAAAGAAACTGACTCACGAAGAGAACTGATTGCCCACATCAGAAGGCGACAATCATGTTGAATTCATGCCATGGAAGATCAGCTATGCAGAACTGATTGAAAGTACAAAAGGCAGACGTTAGTGGATAGTCATGACTACCAACACAAAATGGCATGGTCTATAAGAATAAAAATTACCACATGCATATACTCTGGGACTCACTTTTACATTTCATAACAAAAATAACAATAAATTAGAAAGTTGAATTGCACTCTGGAGATGATATTGAAAAGAACATGTTATTTATTTGTATATGAAAAAGAGAGCTGACAGAAATTCAGAAAGAGAAATTAAATATATTGGCTACATTAAAAGCAAATTATTTTACATCTTTTTTACGTTTCCTATATAATTCAAGGATTTTTTTAGGGAGATGTAAGACATACCATTTTATTAAACGCATAGGGAAAATAAGTCGAACGTAGTAGTAGTAGCAGCAGCAACGGCAGCAGCAGTAGTATTAGTAGAAGTAGTAGCAGCAACAGCAGCAGCAGTAGTAGTAGTCTGCCTTTTCGTTTCCCAGAACACCAGCAATTTCAGGAATAAATATCAAAGGATGTTAACTACACTATACAGTGTACACGGACCTCTGAAGCGACGCCCTCCTCCTCCTTCTCCTCCTTCTTCTTCTTCTTCTTCTTCTTCTTCTTCTTCTTCTTCTTCTTCTTCTTCTTCTTCTTCTTCTTCTTCTTCTTCTTCTTCTTCTTCTTCTTCTTCTTCTTCTTCTTCTTCTTCTTCTCTTCTTCTTCTTCTTCATTCTTCTTCTTCTTCTTCTTCTTCTTCTTCTTCTTCTTCTTCTTCTTCTTCTTCTTCTTCTTCTTCTTTATCATCATCATTATCATCATCATCAGCAGCATCATCATCATGATATTCCTCTTCATCATCTTCATTATCATCACCATCTTCTTTATCATCATCATCATAATCTTCTTCCTCTTTTTTTTTCCTCCTCCTCCTTTTTCTTCTACTTCTTCAGTTTTCCGAGCCCTTGAGGTTCATTGCTGCAGATATCACCTGCCCTAATTAAACTCTCTAAATGGCCTTCTCTTTCCAGTTCTTAACTCAAAGTGTGGTAGGTCTGCATGTATTATTTACTCTCAACCCCATCCCCAACTACACCACACACGCGCGCGGGCGCGCGCACACACACACTCCCACCAAAACCGCTACCACCCACCCACTAAACCCGTTTTCCTGGTCTTGTTTTGCAGTCAACTCCCATTCACCTCTTGTCTTGCGTGCGCAGTTTTGATCTCTCTGTTATCTCTCTATCTTTCTCACTCCCCCCCCCCCTCTCTCTCTCTCTCTCTCTCTCTCTCTCTCTCTTTCTTTACCTCAACAATGGCATTACTGAATGATGTCAGTAATCAGTGACAAACTCTTCATTGTTAATGTTTAATATTTTCAGCAGACGGATGTTACATCATTGATAAATCTACAACTTCTCCGTCACACACAGGTTTTGTTTTTCGCATTACAAAACCGGATTCACAATGTTTTCTAGCATCATCCAGTGAACCATTACCTTATTTACGTTTACGTGTAGGTATAACATTATCGGATTAGTCTTGCTGTTGACGATATTACTATTGTTATCAGTTAGCATCATGTTTGTTTTT